AAAGATGTATAAAAGTATAAACTGTCTTAAAAATGTAAAAACATGCCATCACCAAATTTCTAACATTACTAGTCATGCCCACCTTTTAGAAAAATTTACTAATATATAGAGATAACAAACTCTTGTAGAATACGATAAAAACCCCTAATTAAAAGAAGCCATGTTAAACAGTGAATGCCCTGAGAGTGGAACATGTTTGGTCTGAAAGTGGAAAGTCAAACCAACTTCACTTTTACTATGCTGTGATTTAGATGCAGTTTTTTTCGTAAATGGTAGAAAAATGTTCTATTTATTAAGATAGTATACTAGTATTGCTTTGAATCCTTTGATACAAACAGATGAGAAAAACAGTGTAAAAATGGCCTTTGAGTTAAAGTAAAATTGGTTTTCCTTGCGTTTTCCTGAATGAATGGTTAACGAGGAAAGATTTTTCACTGAGTTTCCTGCTCTGCCGCTACCCTTATCCCATCTGTCCCCCACCTATAGTGGTCAGCCACCTGTGCTGTCAACAACAGGGCCACCAGAACCATCGACATCTCGAGTGCCGAGAAGCGCCACGCCACAGCCAGGCATGCCAGGACCATCCCCACAACCACAGCATACCGGGACAGCCTCTCGTACCACAGGCTGCCATTCAGGACATCCATGGTAGAGGCACAGGTGTAGGCTTCTCTGAAACGTGTGCCAAGTGTAGACAGAAGGGCTCGCACTTCGATCGACTTGACATAAGAGACCAGGTTGGTAGTTTTTGACACAATGATCACAGCGAGAGCAACCAGGGTTGCCCATACGATTAACCAGGCCTCAAACAGTACAGCCAGAGAGAGGAAGATGAGTGTGGTTGCAGTGAGAGACTGAGCCAATGGATCCAGTTGGAGACCAGCAGGTAGAGACACTTGGACTCCTTTGTTCCTGAGGACATACCATGTTACTGCTATCCCTGAACAGGCAAGAGGAATCCACTGCCCATAGTAGACACCCAGAAGTACAGAGGACACTGTGGCTGCAGAGAGTAAACTCACTTCAGCAAGAGTCCGAGACATGTTGAGTTTGGGCAAGGACGGCTTGGGAAGGGTCAGGCTAGGCAGAGAAGCACTAACTCCCATCTTTCTGGTCACATACCACAATACGGCTACACCTGCAGCGATGGCTGACCACCACTGGTTGTAAAGGTAGCCAAGCAGCAGAGAGGCCATGGTTGCAATCACAAGGATGAGAACATCTTTGGAGAAGGAAAAGGAAGGTGTCAGTTTTGGAACTCTAGCAAAGACTCCCTTCTGACCAAGTATGTAAGTCACTCCTAGAGCAGCAACTACCCCTAAGGGGATCCACTGAGAATACAGTACCCCGATTGCTACAGCACTGGCACTGCCCAAAGTAAGACTGCCAACTGCAAGGGATGGAGAGGAAAGACTTGGTCGTGGTATGGCTGCAAGAGTTGGAACTGTTGGCCAAACCTTTCTGGTGACAAAGACTGCAGCTAGAGCACAAACAACTGCTGCAGGAATCCACTGGGCATACAGAATGCCTGCAGCCAGTGCTGCTGCAGCTCCTAGCACCAGGATGACAGCACCCCTGGGAACATGGGGAAGGGATGTCTGCGATACTGCAGGGAGGAGGTACTTCCAAGCAAGATACCCCACAACTACAGCAACAATTCCAGCTAGTATCCACGGTACATAGACAGCTCCTGCACCAGAACTGGCTAGAGAGCTGGCGACAAGAGAACAGGCAGCTCCAAGAAACAGGCTTACAGGCCGATATGGGAAGTTAGGCCGTGGTGGGAGCGAAATTGATGGTAAAGATTGGAAAAGGCCCCTGTGGTAAGCTATGTAAGCAAGCATCAGGACACCAACAATGCCTGTAGGGATCCACTGAGCATACAGAACTCCTATGGCAATGGCAGATGATGCAGCAAGCAGGAACACCACTGCAGAGAGTGGAATAGTGGAGAGGGCAGGCAGAGATGGGTTAGGCAGAGAAGGCAGGGAGGCTGTCAGCCCACTTTTCTTGACTATGTAGCCTACAGTTAGACCCCCTACAACTCCAGCTGGGATCCAGGTACTATACAGGAGGCCTGCTGCTATGGATCCAGCAAGTGCCAGTAGAAGGAGTAATGGTACGTATGGAACAGTAGACATGGTAGGAAGTCTAGAAGTTAGCCCATAATGATGAGCTCCGTGTACTACAAACAGTACACCAACAATGCCGGCAGGAATCCACACTCCATACACAACCCCAACTGCAACAGCACCCACAGGTATGAGGACGTGCAGCCCAGCTTGGGCAGTCTGGAGCAGCGATGCACTTGATGGAGACGGAAGTGTCAAGCCACGCCTGCTGGCGACATAGCCGAGAGCACTGACACCAGAAACAGCAGCCGGTATCCACTGGCCATACAAAACACCAACAGCTACAGAACTGATGGCAGCAGTGAGCAGTAGGCCTGGCAGCAGAGAAGCTCTGGAGGGTGCAGCCACTGAGGGAAGTGACTCCAGTGCAGCAGTTCGCTTGAGGAGGTAACCAGTAGCAAGCACACCAATGATGGCTGCAGGGATCCACTGACCGTACAGGGCCCATACAGCTGCAGAACTTCCTGCAGCCAGCAGCAGTGTGAGCGGTATCAAGTAACGTCTAGCAGCCACTGCAGGCATTTCAGGGAGAGAGAAGCCTAGCCCCAAGTTTTTAAAAAAATAGCCCAGGACCAACACACCAAGAATGCCAGCAGGAATCCACTGAGAGTACAAAACTCCAAGCACTATAGTCCCAACCTGGGCTAGCAAAGGGAAAGCTGCTGCAATGCTAGCTCTGAAGGGGCAGAGGAAAGTGAGGAAGTCTGTACAAGCTGATAGACAACAGATGTAACAATTCCTGCACCAACAACAGCTGCCGGGATCCACTGTCCAACTAACACCCCAATTGCTACTGATGCGGCACCCGTATGCAGGAACAACAGAAATAGCAGAAAAGTCTTGCGAGGAAGTGAGGGAAGTGAGAAAGAGCCTCCCAGCCAATAAATAGCATATAGTAAGCCATGTGCACCCACAAGTGCTGCAGGGAGCCACTGTGCATACCACACTCCTAATACTACTGATCCAACTGCAGAGAGCAGAAGCATCAGAGGCTGCAAGACAGTCTTTAGCGAAGCTGCAGAGGATGGAGAAATAGATGAAGCCTGATAGATACCATACACAACAAGTAAGGTACCAGCAATGGCAGCAGGAATCCACTGGGCATACATAAACTCCAACAGCTGCAGTACCAACTACAGCTGCAAGGAGCAACAATGGCAGTGCGATTCCTGCAGGGGATGTTTCAGGGAAGGAGACCCATTGCTGCTGCTTTGCAACCACTCCTGCTGCTATTACAGCCACAACTGCTGCAGGGATCCACTGGGAGTACAGAACACCGATAGCCACAGCTGAAGCTGAAGCTGCAGCAACCAGTAGTAGGATTGTCTCCAAAGAGAATGTAGGTGTGGAGGTAAGGCCGTGTTGTTTGGCAAGAGCTCCTGCAGCTAGAACCCCAGCAACACCAGCCGGGATCCAATCCCCATAGAGAAAACCAACAGCAATGGATGCTACTAGAGCTGTGAGCAAGAGCAGAGTGAGTAAGGCAGCAATTGGGAGTGAGAAGGTTCTTACTGAAACACCAGAGACTCCAAACTGCCTCAGGAGCAGTAGAGCCACGACTGCAGCCATCACTGCAGCTGGGATCCACTGACCATACAGGTAACCTAGCAGTGCTGAGGCAACAGAAGCAAGGGTCAAGACACCGGCTGCTGGGGAGGTGGAACCTGAAAAAGAGACCCCTACCTGATTTGCCAGGAAACACAGCATCGAGACTCCCACCCAGACAGCAGCCCACCACAGTTGGTAGTACACGCCTAGATACACAGCCGCCCCGCCTGACAACAGCATGACGATGACCTGTGTTGACAGGGAGGACCCTGCACTCCTTGCTAAACACCAGAGCAGAGCGACTCCAGCCCAGAAGGCTGGCCAAAACTGGGGGTACAGGACGCCTAGGGCCAGAGCAGTAGCAGAGACTAGAATGACTACAGATTCACCCAAATGAGTTGATATCCCTGTTGAAGGTCCTGAATTTGTGATGGCATGATACAGGGCAAACAGAGTAAACACAGACAGTATAACAATGGGTACAAGGAGCCACATGTACAAACAGGTGATGAGGTACAGTACAACGGCAACACATGCAAGCGTCACTACGATCAGGCTTGTCCGCAGGAGGAAGAAGAGGATGCTGGGAATGGTCAGACGTGCGCGCAGAGCCTCCCTCTTCCGATCCAGCATGACACACATGTAGACGTAGTCGTTGACGGACAGGCTCTGCCACAGCAGCAGGTACAGGGTCCAGAATGCTGCCAGGACCAGTCGGTCAAGGGTCATACAGGGGATGAGCCACACCACCATCATCACACCTGTGGCACAAAATGTAACATTCTTACATACGTCACATAATTCAATTTTCAGAAAATCATCAGTGCATCACAATTAATGATAATTCTTTAAAAGTATGATGGTTTGAAAATATTTGAATTCAAGTTGGAAGAGTTAACCAAATAATCCTTTAATGACATCATACCAGTGAAGATGGGGAGCCTATTGTTGCTGTAGAACTGTCGCACACTCTCTGACTTAATGCTTAGTGGGTCATCTAGTCCCAAGGCATAGTAATAGGCCTGTTAAGACAAGAAAATGAAAAGACAGTGTTAGGATAAGAAGACACTGTGTTAATACACAATTTCTATTTGCACATGAAAGAAAATTTTAGAAGCTCACAGATTGAATGATACCACTGTTGTTTATCAAATTCCAAAAATTACTGAAAATGTAACAGAAATAGGGAGATTTATCAAAATGAAACAATTTTGCCACCAACATCTGCTTGTACCAGTAGATAATATTCAGCAGTATAATACTCAGTTCAATATTCCTCAAACATTGTCTATCTACACTTGATCTCCTATGCTCTAACTGTGTATAAGGAACAACACTTACCTGTTTGACACCCATCATCTCAGGATAGTCCAGGATGACAGCAGAACCAGAGATGGACAGCCAGCCGAAGATGTGGACCAGCGTGAACACTAACCACAGGAACTGGCTGGTTTTCACAGGGAAGTCCCAGAAAGGGTCAGACACTCCAACAGTCTTCCAGTTGTCTATGGCTACCTGTTGGTGCAAATGTGTTATTTGTCAATCCAAGTGAAGGAGCATGCTTACTTAAACTTCTCTTTTTCATCCCTTGCAAGACATGCAAATGAAGCAGCATGCAAATGAAGAAGTATGAAAATAAATAGTATGCAAATGAAGGTGCATGCAAATAAAGGAACATGCAAATGAAGCAGCATGCAGATAAAGAAGCAAGCTAATGAAGGAGGATGCAAATGGTTATAATTGTTACAGAAGTAACATGAATGAATGTGAGTCACATAAGAATTAAGATGAATAAATTTAGAACTGGATGTGTGGGCATATGACTACAAATGTGTAAACAAGGTTCAAAATGTGTGACCTTGTCACAAAACACATAAACATAACCAAGGACACTGTATATAATGTCCTTGACATAACCATTGAGAGACAAATCCAAGACATGGGGATTTGACCTGCAGCACCAGCGCGGTGGATGCCACGTACAGGGATCGCTCCACGACGTCCAGCCGGACAGCGGACAGCAGACGTTTGACCAGCCAGGAGGTCATGACCAGGTGCTGCAGAGGGAACAGCAGGAGGAGACCCACATCCTGAACCAGAGGGTTGGACAGGAAGTCTCCATCTCCATCTGTATTGAGAAGGAGAGAAAACTCAGTTTAAGATCACATGAACTTCATGATAACATAACGTTACATTCCTACTCCTGTTTCTGCACACTGATCTAGAAGACATAAATCTACCTGAACTTGAAAGAATTATTTTCATCCATACAAATTTCTCTTTTTTAAGGGTGGAATGGGTGGGGTACTTGTATAAAGGAGTACCTTTTTATTGTACCTTATGACAATGACAATAACATTTATTGCACATTCATGCCGTGAACAGTAAAAACCAATTGAGAAACTCCACTGGGCCAACAATGGACATTTTCTAGTGGAATAACACAAACAAAGCTGACGAGCCAGACAACAACCTCCCACTCCCAAGAGTAGCCTGGCCGCCAGCTGTCCCAGTTTGAGGGGACGCTTCGCTTCTTTGTGTTACCCGATGCCACGCCCACCCACATATGCCCAGGGGCCCCATTAAAGCTCTAGCGTCCTTGCCTGGTCCTTGCTAAATCCAGTTACAAATTTTACATGGCAACATGAAACATCCAAGCAATCTAAAACGGTAATATCTTGCGATATAAATGTGTCTCATATAGTGAGAGACGTCTGACACAAGAGAGAACAGCAGACGACTTCGTTTTTTAGTTGACACGCCAAAACACACAGCTGTCACAAGGGAATTTTTGCCTCAGGAATTGTTCATAGAATTCGCCATTAAACTGTGTCACAAGCCTGTAACACACATTCAACATATGACAACAAACATCTCCACCTATTTACACACTGAAATAATTGTACCTTTCTGATCGTGGCTGCTGGCAGGTCCTCCTTTGAGGGAATCTTTGCCCAGAAGGTCGGTTGACAGAAACAAAGCCAACTTGAAGACGGAGGCAAAACAGTAAACAAAACAGGCCAGAGACACTGTTGAGAAGAAGATAGTCCCGAAGATCGAGCGGCTTGTTGTTGGGGCCATGCTGGAGCCCTTGGCTCGGCCTAGACTGACAAGGAGAGGTTGAAATCACAGGAATAAAGCTAACAGATACCTCAGACACAAGTCAAAATTTACCCCCATGCCAAACCGTGCAGGGAGCAAATGTCAGAATATACCACTCCCTCATAGGGGACGAAACGATCCTCCCAAAATATGATACTGTCTTGTTCATACATGACTCTACGTATTTCTATATCAACTACATTAATTTTGCTATATAGATATATATTTGCTCCCTTTCTATAATGACTAAATATGACATTAAGTTGTTCTTTTAATGTGTCTTCTCTTTTCTATATTGGACTATTCCTGATGTCAAAGTTGAATCCCTGACACTCCAGTGGGGAGTGGGAGTGTTTCTCTGACTTCTTCAACACTGACTTTCTGTCTTTCTATCCGACTCCTAGACTGACGAAATGTTTAACAGATAAAACATCGAAAGGGTTTTCACACCCGTGTTTCCACTGTAAGAGCCGTCTACACTGTGAAGTGCAAACTGAGGTATGTTATTTGTGACACACACAGAGAGATCTTTGAGTGTTAGCCGTGGCGACTCTTGATTCGGGCTTACATTGCATTACCGTCTGAGGGTAATGCAATGTAAGCCCGAATCAAGAGTCGCCACGGCTATTTGAGTGTCAGCATTTTCTAGCTAGAAGTAACGTTAACTAAAGTTATATTCGAAGTTTAATTTCTAGGTAAATTTGACGATTACCTGATTTTCTTTCTTCATATGAGTAATTTTTTAACATGAAGATGATGACATTTCTGCTCTAGAAAAAGCATTTTCAGAGAGACACACACCCTTCTTTAGCTAAACGCACTTTTTTACATGAAATTAAGGTCCTGACCGAATTCCTCACAGTCCAAATAGATTGGAGGGTTTGTTTCATTCAGCACGTTTAACTCCTGTGTGCCCACGTGGCTTTGTTTATTGGCTTTACTTGTCATTCCAATCACAGTACTTACAAAGTGCCCCTCCCCATTGTCCGAGCGGACATTGACATTTCACGATCAAAGTCCACCAATGGTACAGGTGTTTTATTGCGCTGTACTCACCTTTAGTCTCTGAAAAGTAGCCAAGGACTATGAGTGACTCTGGAGACACAGAACACAATCAGGTAATTCAGGTATAGTCTAACAGTGCACATGCAGGTGACATGATAACTGTTAATGACTTAGCAGAGTTGCCTACTTAGCTTCTATATGTACAATCTACATGTATGTACCATCTCAAATGACATATTAGCAGTGTTACTTTATGCATTGTGTTATAGTTATGATCCATATTCAGCCTGCCTCACCCATGTGGTACCTAATGCCTTGCAGATAAAGATGGCAGCACATCTTCCAAAAGCATTCAAGAGAATCATGGTGTCATCGCTGACCCCCAAATTCCGTAGTGCCATCTCCATAGAAACAGTTCCCATGGCAACGCCAGGTCCCAAAGAAGTTCTCGTCAAGAACAGGTGCCATTTTTAAACTTCTAACATTAAGATTGCACTGTTCATTTTTGTGACATTCTGTAACTAGATGCTTTGATTGGAGTAAGAAAACAAAACTAGCTTAAAAGATACTACTTCTGCATGTATGTATCTAGTTTCCTTCCATATCTACTTGACTGTCACAGTATATGAAGTGTAGCTGTATGCATTAAATCCTTTGGCAAGACAAACTGTTTGGAGCATGTATGTTACAGGTTTGTTGGCATCAATGCTTCTGATGTGAACTTCGCTGCTGGGAGGTACGACCCAACCAAAGTGCCCCCTTTCCAAATCGGGTTTGAGGTAAATGATAGTGATAGTGATTATTTTTTTCTTTACCATTAGAAATTCTGTCAGGAGATCTCTTTTTCCATCATTCTAATTTCTTACTGGCATACTGCCATACCACACTGTGTAGCATGTTATGTCATCACCCATGCCTCCGTCTATCTTTGTGTACTACATGTATAAATTATGCAGAGACAACTGTGCAAGAACTTAAATATGCCAGCCATTTGTCATAATCATGATATAACAGTATAACATAACATTATAATAGTCAGGACAATGAATAAAGAGAATTTCTGCAGCATTAAAATATGGTAATCACTAACCACTGTATCACTAGTACAAGTAAATATTCAGATCAGCTTCGTGTATTTAGAACATACAAATCCTGCCATGGAAAACAAATGTGAAGTGACCAATTTATTGAGCAAATGCAAACATTACTCTAGTTGAACTTGCATTATTATGTGGTAGGGCCTGGGAGTGGTGGCTGCTGCAGGGGCGGAGTCCAACTTTAAAGTAGGCCAGCCTATTGCCTACTTATATGATGGAGCATTCTCTGAGTACAAGGTGAGGTTTTCCCAATTGTAGATAACACCTTAACCATGTATGAAAGTTCATCTGTGTTGGTATATGTAGTTACATGTTTACAATTAAAACTTAAGATACAACACAACAAAGTTCTCCCACCTAGAGCTTTGGACCAGTCACTCTGGTCTTCCTCGGTGGACTGACCCATTGTCAGGCTTGTCACGTGGCTTCTTTGAAGTGTGATGTCAACACTGGGTCAAAGGTATCTAATCTTGACTAAGGAAGACCAGTGTGACTGGTCAAAAGCTCTAGGTGAGAGAACTTTATTGTGTTGGATCTATTCTACACATGAACACCACACAAATCATACCAGTATCATATAAATGTCACAAACATCAAACAATTGCTCTATGAAAATTTACAATTGTAACTTATGTGATATGAGTAAATATCAGAATGATAATTCAAGATATTGAATTTTTTTTTCTATATATTTCTTTGTGAGGTTTTGCCGTCCAAGTTTGCCATCCCGATACCATCACTGAAGCCAGAGTACATCCCACTGATGGTCAGTGGTCTGACTGCAGCCATCAGCTTTGATGAGGTCAGTGAACTTCAGTAGCCTGGGTACCATCCGGATTTTCGCTACGCAACGCTCGAAAAAATCACGCGTTGCGTAGCGAAAATCCGGATGGTACCCAGGCTAGAACTTCAGGACAATTAGAGTCTTTCTGTGTTTGTTTAGGTTTAAAAAGTCAAAGGCCATGTATCTGTCGAAACTGAAAAAAAAAACATTTCTGTGTTTTTCTGCAGGTTGGAGATTTGAAGAAGGGAGAGACAGTACTTGTTACAGGTACAGGGCATCTTGTAGTTGGTCAAACTTGTGTGATCTAATTGTCCCGACTTCTTGGTAATGGAATTGGTCTGTTCATTCAGGGTACCAGACAAACTAGTCAGGTATCATTAACATGATGTTGTGTTTCCTTGTCCTTCATAGCTGCTGCTGGTGGAACAGGACAGTTTGCAGTAAGTTCGTTTTCTCTTCATTGCCATTTTCTTGTAAGAGTCAAACACACATACTTACTGTACATATGTGTTTTAGATATTGGACAAAGCTCCAAGATGCTGATGCCAGGTCTGTCTTTTCCAGGTCCAGCTGGCTAAGAAAGCAGGCTGCCATGTCATTGGGACCTGTTCTACTGATGCAAAAATGGAGTTCCTGAAGGTAAGAACAATATGAATGACTTGCAATCTTACCCCTTTCATTCCTTCCATTCCAGTCAAACTTGCTAACCACTAGGACACTCATGCCTTTCACTTTTCATGTGACTTTGAAACTTTTTCGTTTCCCAGAGCATTGGCTGTGATCGTCCAATCAACTACAAGCAGGAGGACTTGAATGAAGTACTGAAGACAGAATACCCTGTGAGTAAATCGCAATTTTATATCTGTATAATACAGGTCCTTAAATACTAACAGCCTGTATAGGGAAACTGAGGATGTTTTATCTTTAATGTGGTGTTGTTGTTGTTGTTTACAGAGAGGAGTTGATGTAGTTTATGAGTCTGTTGGAGCACAGATGTTTGACACCTGTGTGAACCGGTAAGTACTGTGCTTTAGCCTCTAGTTAAGTATCTTTTTAAGACCATGAGATACATTTTGTTTAATAAACGAAGCATCATCTGTCTGGGCAAAGCATGCATTTTGCACTAGAAGCACATCATACAGATGTAAAGATCTGATGATTTAGTTTTATAAACTTGTGAGTGCTTTTATAGTGGATAATGTTCTGGTTCTGTTGAATTTCATGAGTTAACAAATGAATGTTGCTTTATTGTCGTGACTTGCAGGTTGGCTGTGAAGGGCAGGCTGATTGTGATTGGGTTCATCACAGGTTACAAGTCTGACACAGGCTACACCCCCATCAGGGGAGGGGCAACACTGCCTCCTAAGGTGCAGTAACTGTAGCAGTGTTCAAACTTTAATTTCAAATACTTCAAAATTTGACAGTGACAGATGATATCATTATATTTACGTGATAGCCTCAGTGCTAAGAAGACATATTGTAACATACAAATCTCTGAGAAAATTGTTTGTTTTTTTATCTTCATAGTACTTGTAACTAATTGATTCACCATTTGATTTTTGGACAAGTGCAACAAGTGGATTTTTCTTTCAGCTTCAGGCTTTTTTGCTGATTCATTTAGCACCAGGTTAAAATTATCATTACAACTGCAACAATATTGCAATAATATTCATATTTGAGGAGCCAGCTGTTCTCAATATGGAATGAATAAAAAAAATAAATAAATTTAATTAACATTGGATAAACTGATGCATTCCAAAATTTCCATATGATTACTTCTATGTATGGAAGTATTATTTTAGGTGGCCAAGGTTTCTGTTTGTGCATCTGTATGTCTGGACAGAGTCGGTTGACAGCAGATGGGTGGGAAGGTTTACTGGCAGAATGGCATGAGGTCAATGGTTTAAAAAGCTGGCTTGGAGCCAACAATATTGCTTAATTCAAAAAGCCAAAGACTGCATTCACAGAAGTCTGAAACCTCTAATTTCTTGCTCCAGTTGTTAACCAAGTCGGCCAGTGTGCGAGGGTTCTTCCTGTTCCACTACACCAACCTGTGGGTGCCATACCTGCAGCGGCTGGTGTCCATGTACCAGGCCGGAGACCTGATGTCACAAGTGGACAGGGGGGAGGGATCAGGGACAGGTGTCTTCAACAAAGGTGTGCAGTCCATACCTGATGCTGTGGAAGTGAGTTCTGAGATTCTTGAGCACCTCAATCCTTGGTTGATAACTCTGGTACTTGAAGGCATGGCTTTTTCTTGTTCTCTTCTGGGCTGGTATTACTTAGTATCTGTATCTGTATAGCTGGTATAACAGCCCTTCAGCATAACACACCAGCTTTGCAGGCACGCTTCGTGGCGGCAGCTGGCTACATTATACTGATCGACTTGTTACACCTAACCCTTGAACATCTAACTCTAGACATTGTTTAAAGCCATCTAATGACAATGCCCCTACTGTACTTGGTGACAGCGAGTTCCACTCTGCGATAGTTCTAGGAAAGAATGAATAAGAGATCATGTTTCTCTTGACAGTATTTTGAAAGCTATGTAAAACTTCACCAGATGTGGACCTAGTGAAGGTGATAAACAAGAATGAACTTTTAGCCTGGGTACAATCCTGCTTAGTGAAAGTCTGCTCCCACAGTCACTACAGGTTGTCGGTAGCAACTGTGGGACAGACGTAACCAGAATGGTACCCAGGCTATGAACTTATGACATTATGGGGTTGCAGATATTTGCTAGTGTACAGTACTTTGCAAAAGTCTTATAGTAATATTGGTTAGAATAGGTTTCAAACCCCCAGATGTGCCCTGTCCAGCAGAGATCTTGTTTCCAATACGCATGACTGCTGAAGATTGTTTTAACCTGAAACTTTTGTTTTTTTTTCTTGTATTTCAGTATCTCTACACTGGTCAGAGCAAAGGCAAGATCATTGTAGAGTTCCCAGAAGGAAGCAGCAAGCTGTAATAATCAGAGGATTTTACTCAACATTTAATGTACTGAATTTTTTGGTGAAACCAAAACAATTTAGAGTAGCCTGGGTGCTATCCTATCTAGTATACTGGGGCTGCCATACTCACTCTCTAAATGGGGGTCTTAATACTAGTATACAAATAGGATGGATAGCATCCGGGTTAGATTTAAAGACCATTATTAGTTGTATATCAAATATCGATAATCATTGTTTTACTTCCATTAAAATGGACGTATTGTTTTTGGCATGGCTGTGTGTGTGTAATGGTCTTCATGATCACAGATTTAGTATTTTACATGTGTGCAAATAGACAATTGAAACAAGAATATACAGTAACTGATGTTACAAACTGATTTGACCTTAGTGACAAGAAATGTACACTACCAACTTTGCCTTACAATACAAATGTAAGTGCACAACAATGCACAGTATATCAAATGATAATGGTCATTGATAAAAATGGTCAATTCCCTAATTGTATGGTTATGAAATTAAAGCAATAAAAGGTCTTCACATTTTGATACCTTTATTTGAAATTGCTGTTATACTTGTACAAAATGTGGGGTTGACGTTACAAACTACTTGGGCCAGCCAACACTGTACAGATGTTTGTTTTCTCCACCTAGAAATGCATCACAACAAATGCACAGCTGTGCAGAAGCCTCAACCATATCTTCTACTCTTCCATGTGTATGAAGCTTAAGCCTCTACTTTAGTGATTACAACCACAATATGATTTCCACAGCTCCACCTTTACCTGATAAGCATAGATTATTTCTAATGCCTCCCTTTCCTCCATTGTCTATAGCTAGCTGGCACCATTCGTATTCTACCATCACTATTTTGCTGTGTGACACTAATATTGAATACATAGAACAAAGATGATATTGACATGGGCTTGTGTTAGTTTTTACGCTGATAGCATTGGCATCTGGAGATGGACAAATATTATTAGTGCAAGGGTTGTTGGATAGAGTCATATGAATAATGTTATATGATTATAGACAATGCAACTTCTTTCTGCTACTCGAGAAGGATTTTGTACACCTAACGTACTACGAGCTCCACGTCTCCGGTAACCGTGCCCTTTGTGTTGGAGGTGTGGCAGGTGTAGATTCCTGCATCCTTTTCGACCACCTTGCGGATGACGAAGTAAACGATTTCGTCGTCGTCCTCGTACAGGTCGTACCGGCCCGTGGACGGCAGGATGCTGCTGCCTTTCCTCCACTCCACCCCCGGGATCGGGTCCCCCGTGGCGAAGCAGGCGAACTCCACCTTCTCCCCAACTTTAGCTTCCACTCTGGTCTGGCTCAGCTTCAGGTACGGGTTGGTCTTCTTGGCCTTGGCGAAGGGAGTTGCCTTGTCTGCTGGTGGGGCAGGTGGAGGCGGAGGAGCTTTGGGTTCTTCCTTGAACTTTCTGCCTGGGCCTTGATAATCTGCATATGCTTCTTTAGATATTTCTCCCTTAAACTTCCTACCGGGGCCCTCAGCTTCCTTTTGAGTGGCCGGAGCTTTGGGCTCCACCGATTTCGAAGCGGGCTGGTCTTCCTTGAACTTCCTGCCCGGGCCTTGATAATCTGCATATGCTTCTTTAGATATTTCTCCCTTAAACTTCCTGCCGGGGCCCTCAGGTTCCTTCTGTGGAGCCGGGGCCTTCTGTGGAGCCGAGGCCTTCTGTGGAGCAGGGGCCTTCTGTGGAGCAGGGGCCTTCTGTGGAGCCGAGGCCTTCTGTGGAGCAGGGGCCTTCTGTGGAGCAGGGGCCTTCTGTGGAGCCGGGGCCTTCTGTGGAGTCGGGGCCTTCTGTGGAGCCGGGGCCTTCTGTGGAGCCGGGGCCTTCTGTTCCACCGATTTTGAAGCGGGCTGGTCTTCCTTGAACTTCCTCCCCGGACCCGAGTAATCTTCGTAAGCTTCAGCAGAGATGTCGCCCTTGAATTTTCTCCCTGGCCCGGCGTATTCTTCCTTTGTGGCTTGCACATCCCATTTCTCCGGCTTTTCTTTGAACTTGCGGCCGGTACCAGAATAATCTTCGTATGATTCGGCAGAGATTTCGCCCTTAAACTTCCTCCCCGGTCCTGCGTATTCTTCCTTCAGAGCTTGTACATCCCAATTCTCGGGCCTTTCCTTGAACTTGCGACCAGGACCGGAGTAATCTTCATATGATTCAGCAGAAATTTCGCCCTTAAACTTTCTCCCTTTGCCAGCATATTCTTCCTTCAGAGCTTGTACTTCCCATTTCTCAGGCCTTTCCTTGAATTTTTCGACCTGGGCCCGAATAATCTTCGTAAGCATCGGCAGAAATTTCGCCCTTAAACTTTCTCCCTTTGCCAGCATATTCTTCCTTAAGAGCTTGCACATCCCATTTCTCCGGTCTTTCCTTGAATTTGCGACCGGGACCAGAATAATCCTCGTAAGCATCGGAAGAGAACTCTCCCTTGAATTTCCTTCCGGGGCCTCCTTTGGTATGTTTTTCTTCCCTTTCGTACAGATGGACATCCCCGGCTCTGCCGACTTCTGCTCTTTCCCCGAACCTGTCGTCTCCCATCTCCAGCTCCTGCCGCTCGCGGGTCGGTCCGAAGAGCGGGCCCTCCGGGACGGCCTTGTCCTGTGAGGCGGCGTGGAGGGTGTTCCTGATGGCGGCGATGGCGTCCTCTCCTTCCCCCCAAACTGCCGATGCCACGGCGTTGGCCACGGCCTTTTTCCTGGCAGCGATCTCCTCGTCCATGGCTTTCTCCAGCTGCTCACCCATTTTTTCTAAAAGGAGAAAACATTCCAAATACGTTATCTCTAACACTTGAGTCCCAAATGTCCCACACGTATATAATTTAAAATTATAACCTCAAAGCAGATCCTATAGGGCGGTAAGACAATATCGTTTGGCCAGAGCTGCGACCATTGGCCACCCTGTGACCACTAGCCACAGGGTGGCCAATCCTACGCGTCAAAGCTCTGGCCAATGGATACTGCCTTATCACCGTCTCTGCTTGTTGATTATGATTTATAATGTGCCCCAAGTTGCCCCCAACTAAGCATTTTTCATGACTACAAGAACCTGCTTGTAAGAAATCAAAAGAGGAACTCGAAGTAAGCGCCTTGTTAACACACATCGCTACGAGCACACGTGTACTAGTCTGCCCGCCTCCTACATCCAATGAAAACGGCGCGGCACGTACCGGACACGTAGAGCCTCCCGACCGACGTGCGGGTCCCGGAGTCGTTGATGGCCATGCAGGTGTAGTAGCCGGTGTCACGAACGTTGGCATGACGTACCTCTAGCGTCATCACGCCACATACATCATAGATCCTGACAAAACAAACACGTAAATCATCATTTGCTAGGTAAGTGATTGTCACGGAATACGTTTAGGTGGCTATCCACGTACGCATCATTATCGTTTCTAGCTTAAGTGAACTTATGGCAGTAACAATTACATCAAATAATTATCCAAAGTCAGAATCCATTGGCCTAACAGGTATCATGTTATTGACATACAGGCATCAGGATATTTAGACATGCTTCATTCAAGAGCTCAGAAGAAAGCGTAGTGGACATCGCAGCGAGCGGCTGACTCCAGGCCGCTAGGTGCCCCTGTCCGCACGCCTAACAGTCCGCCGCCGGGCGATGTCCTTGGTGCTGAAATGGGAATCTCCGGGGAGGACGGGCAGGGGTATGTTGCAGAAGGGTTTTATTCATGAAGATTTACCACATTTGTGGAAGGATTGACATAACAGTTGACTATCACCTCTTCAAGATGTCAAACCTGACATCAGACTGTAAGATTGGAACCACTCACACCGGAAAGGTCCCCTACTCTTTTCGATAAGTGCGGTGGGTTCTTTAACGTGGGTAGGGTGTGGCTCTCCCCAAACACGGGACCTCCATTTAACGTCCTATCCGAGGGACGTCCCTAACCGAAGCTAAGGCACAAGATCAGTGACATCAGACAGGATTCGAACCCGGGATCTGGACCTCTGAGCCGAACACTCTGCCGCTACGCCACACGACCCAACACAAAGCAAGATATGCACTACATACCTGTATTTGAAACCATCGTGAGTGATGATCTCGTCGTCCCGGTACCACTTGATCCTGGGCACGGGGTCTCCCCGCACGGAGCACGTGAAGCGCGCGGTGACGCCCTTCCCCACCGTGATGGTCCGCATCCCGGTAGTGAACATGGGGGGAGTCCCTGGTCATGTGCAGGGGGGAGACAGAAGAATTGTAATCTATCAATGCATTCGTTTGTTTAAAAGTTCAAAATTCATTGTTTAAATGTCAACCCAGCCTTTTGTGTTGACTTCATGGCTCCTATCGTTGCATTTGGGCCTAGGTCTGTTTTTTCGCTCTGTCGCTTCTTATTTTTTTCTTAAAAAAATCCGAGAACCAGCAAATTAAATTGGTGTGGCCTAAGCACGTGTCGCAATACTGCATTAATCCATACGTGTCATTAAATCTTTTTCTGGGGTGTCCAGCTGTGGGTCTGTGGGTCAGTTTGTCCGGACAGATTAAGTTAACAGTACGTGGGTGGGGACGACTGACAGGCAGAATGACAGGAGGTCAAAAGGTCAGACACAGGATTGGGGTGAAGTTGAGGGCCTCTGAAACCGAAAATACTTCTCGGTGGTCTAAAATCTCATGTTTTCAAGTGCTTTTCTAATTATAGTTCTGAATGACTTACCCTTCGGCACGTACACCTTTTTCTCCTCGTGTCGCCTTCGGTAGGACCATGGTCTACGGGGGATTCCAAAACTCTCCGGGTCAAAGATGTCATCAAACTTTTCCTCTTGTCTAAAGCTGAAAAGATAAGGGGCAGGCACTTTTAGAATCTCAAAAGGTCGTCATCGTACGTGTGTGTTCTCCTAAATTTCTCCAAAAAACACAGTAGGGTGAAATTTTGTATAGCCATAAATGGTAAATGACGACACTTCGAGAATTAAGTAATAGTTTGTAATGCTGAATTTCCATCTGTCTGCGTTTATAGTGCTTTTCATCTATGGGTATTTACTGCAAGCCTTACTGTTATAGTACAAGTACGTTGGCAGAACACACTGCGCCTTCACGAAACTGTGCATATAGCACTTCGGCAGAACGTCTCGTTTAAAAGGCCGTAATCGCGTATTTATGGATTGATACATTCCGTCAAATATAGTTTGCAACGTGTAAAAGTTTTATCTGACGCATCGTTGACCAAACATCCAACAAAAACTCTGAAAATTCGTGTTTCACACATACGTTCTGCTGACGTGCTGATATATATGTACACATCACCTGGTTGAGCCTGAATAGCTGCCCCTCCTCCCCAGCCGAACCGGCGTGCTGTCGAACTCCTCGGCGGTCTCCGAGAAGCGCCGGGTCCGAGGCGGTGTGGAGGGCGGGGTGCGCCCTGCGCTGTACCGGTCGAAGTCGTCTCCCCCGTATTTGGACAGGTCATAACGCCTCGGCCGGCTGGATTTCAAATGTTAAACATTGTGATTTCTCTTGATGTTGTTATCAATAATGAATGCCTACCTGCCTAAATGCTTAGGCCAGGACTGGCCCCTTGCTCCTCTTCATTTTTTCCCGCCAGGCATCACGGTCCTTAGCCTTTCGTTCAGCGTACTTGAGGGACCACCCCGTGTCCTGTACTATCTGGTCCCGCCATCTTTTAGGGGGTCTACCTCTAGGTCTGGGGTTTGTGAAATCCTGATGGTAGGCCCCATACACCAAAGAGTCTGGGGGTCTCCTCTGAACGTGACCAAACCACCTCAGCCTTCTTTTACGAATATCGTCGATTATGGTATTTTCCATTCCCAGCATGGCTCGGATTTCCTCATTTCTGATGTGGTCTCTCCATGAGACATTCAGGATAGCCCGCAGGCATCTCATTTCAAAAGCCAATAGGAGTTGTTCATCACTTTTTTTCAATGTCCATGTCTCACAAGCATAAGTTGCTATTGGGAAAATGAGGGCATGTAACAGACGGGTTTTAAGGTGCCTACTGACATCAGACCTGTTCCAAACTGTTTTCCTGAGTCTGCCAAAGGCAGAAGCAGCAAGGGCAACTCGCCTCTTGACATCGCTTGTTGTACCAGGAATAACACTTCCTAAAAATACAAAATCTTGAACTTTTTCAACCGTGGAACCCTCTATGCTTACATCCTCGTCTAACTCAGGGGAAATGACTTTGCACTTAGCCGCGTTAACTTTCAGCCCCCATTTTTTGCAAGCAAACTCTAGCTCCTGGGTTGACAACTGTAGTTTCTCAAAGATTGCAGCAATAAGTGTAGTGTCATCTGCGTATCTTTCCTCCATTGAAAGCTCATCATGTAGTTGGAAGGTCTTATCCAGGCTCTTAAGCTCATCCATTACGAATTCCAGGAATATGTTAAAAAGCACTGGGGACATGAGGCATCCCTGTCTGACACCTACACAGACTTCAAACCATTTTGTGATCTGATTGTTAACAGTTATTGCACATTGGGTGTTCTTGTACATCTCTTCCACTATGTTGACTATCTTCGCGTCCACACCTATTGCTCTCATCATCTTCCACAACGCTTTTCTCCAGACAGTGTCAAACGCGGATTTAAAGTCGATGAAGTGGAAGTGCAGGTTAACCTGTCTTTCTCTTGCCTTTTCTAAGATTTGTCTTACCACAAATATGGCATCTACCGTTCCCCTGCCACTTCTGAAACCAAACTGTGATTCTTTAAAGTGGGCTTCTGTTTTGGCTTGCATCCTGTGTAACAGGATTCTAAGGAAAACCTTTCCAGGAATAGATAGAAGAGCAATGGCACGGTAATTTGCTGGATCCATCTTACTGCCTTTTTTGTGCACTGGCATCACTAGCATTTTGGACCATTCTAGTGGTCGTTGCTCCTCGTTCCAAACCTTAGAGAATATCAGGTGCAACATGTCAATCATTTTCTCCCCACCTGCTTTTAGAACTTCCGCTGTTATTGCGTCATCTCCAGGAGCTTTTCTGTTTTTCATCTTTTTTATAGAGTTGATCACTTCCTCGCGGGAGATGGGAGGGCCTTGTTCTACCTCAGCTGGAGGGTTAGGAATATCATCTAAGGCCTCCTCTTGGTGCGGGAATTTCTTGTTAAGATGGTCTTTGAAATGTTCTTCCCATATACGCAACACTTCATTTGGGTTGGTGTGCTTTATGCCATTTTTGTCAATCATTACACTTAGAGGTTTTCTTGGTTTGTTCTCTAGCTCTCTAACTGTTTTGAAAAGGCTATGAGAATTGTTGTTAACGTGGTCCCTTTCCATAGCTGCAACTTTGTCTTTCATTAACTTATGCTTATGTTTCTTGACTTCGTTCTTCACCCGTTTGTTGTGCCAATGGTATGAGCTTTTAGCTTCTAGATCATTTGGACTACTCAACATTCTCAGCCTTGCATTCCGTCTGTCTTCACAGGCTTGTTCTACATCTGGGGGTAAGCCTTCTAGTTTTGCATGTTTCTTGAAGCCTACCACCTCTTTTGTGGCTTTGTTCGTGGCTGTTTGAAATTTTGAGTATAGCTCATTGATATCTAGATCACCCATCTGCAGAATAGGTTCTAAATCATTACCAATCCTGGTGGAGAAAGTATCAGCTACTTCAGGGTTTTTCAGCTTCTCAACATCATAGCGTTTAGGCCTTGATTTAGGCTTCCTTTCTAGTGGGGTATCCATTTTGAAGGTGGCCTTCAATAATGGTGGCCTTCAATAATGAATACTAGTAGCTAATAAGTGCATATCTTGAATAGCTAATAAGTGTTTAAACCTCGTCGACAATAATACTAACCCTGACCAAAGGAGTGAAGTTAAGCTTATTTCACACGTTGTCAACTTGTTTTCATGCCAGTGAACAAACTAATTATCTATAATAGTACATGTATTACTAGTATAATTACTCCTAGTATTCAATTCAATTGTAAGCGGGCTTCAAGGTAGAAGCATGGCGGCCGTAGACAGCTGTCTCCAGAGGCTTCTGTCGGCAGCAAGGACCCTCCAGGACCCTCCATACTCCTAGTATTACTTAGTCAAAATCATAGCTAAGTTGCTATGTTTGGAGCTGATAACTAATCTGATATGTGGTTACCTCAGTGGCAGTGCGTCGTAGCTCGGCTTGAAGGCGGCCCTCGGAGTCCGGCGGTAGTAGCTGGGTCCGGAGTCGGACAGCAGGGACCGGGCCGTCAGGGATGGGTCCATTTTCTGTCGGAAAAAAAAACACATGTTGTTCACTTCTGATTCGCATGCTTTACTAAATAGCCCCATATGACATCAATGTATGTCATTGAGTTTCAAGGATTCGTGCACATCAAAAGGAACAGCATATAGATGTGTAAAGAAGAGTAGCATATAGTCGATAAGCAATGTATGTACGTAATGCTCCTGTGCTGTATACATGTACTGTACGTCAAACATACTTTACAAGAAGTCACGCCTGCAGTGTGACTTTTTCTAAAGTATTTTGACGTACGAAATGCAAGTATATGTTACATGCAATAAATATACGACAATCAAATACGAGCAGTACCATCTATATAAAGATAGGAGCGTTGATATATTCTATACCCTGCTGATTGTAATTTCTTAATCATAGCTGGGAGAAAAGAAGTTGGAGGATCGTTTTGTTGACATTTCCTTCTCCCCTTGGTCCAAGTGTTGTCAGATGGCACCGTTACGATAATTAAACTACCTTTAGAGTCACGATATTTGTATGATGATCCATGCCTCACATAGTCCTTACCAGTGACACCTGTACGAGTACATGTATAGCATGGGCAGTATAAGGCATCGATCGCGCGGATGCCATGGCTATCTGATTTTTTCCACGAACAATAATAGAACGTTTCGAGAGACTATGTACTGTGACTGAAGAGTTTACGTCTCATGTGTCCTACTATACTGGCACAAAAAAAAAACGGAAAAGACAAAAATAATTTGATTGTTCATATTTCTAGCATGCGGAGCCTAAAAGGAATTAGGAATATGACCTCGTATCTCATGGGCATCCTTCGGTGGTCGTACCGAGGGCTGTTGAGCACGTTTGCCCCGTAATCGTAATGGAAGAACAGGCTCATCTTTGGTTTGGTGTTTTCTTCACGGACGTGTTATTGTTGTGGACGGACAAATCTGGTTGCTCTTGTTCTTGTAGATGGCGGTGTTGTTGTTCAGTGCCAGCACCCTTTCTCTGAGCCAGAGATCGGGGTCTAGACGTAAATAGAAAACTCAGAGGTCAGCTAGCTACAGGCTGTTCATCTATGTAAATTTGTTTTACGACCAGGTAAGGCATACGGAGAAACATACAACTACTTCATGTCTCAAAAAAAAAAGAGATACGTCTTGTCCTTAGTCCTCAGCTTTGTCCTGAGTTCGACTGCCTTATCGGTTCTCTGTCTCTAGAATGCTGCTTTTGGAAAGGAAGGACAGAACAGTACTAGTGCTCAGTATGGGAGCTAGCCATGGCGCGGTTATAGCAATTGCAAGGGAACTGATGTCGACTAATTGCGCTAGTATGGAAGGGTCAATGCAATAGGTGAAGTACATGTAGGAAGGTCAAGTGCGTGGGAGGTCTTTCGTAAACTAATACTCCACGGATTTCTAAACACAGCGAATCGCACTCATCCACACCACAGGCAACAATGTTGAGGGGGCGGGGCTATAAGGGGATAGTCAACCTACTTATGGCAGGGTGGGATGGGACAGTGATACTGTGTTAGTCGATCTATTTGGAGAGTGCATGAACGAGGGATGTAGAATTTAGATTGGGAGGGAGGACAACCGTTGAATGCAACACACAGTGATTCCCCGTGATGGCTTCCATGTACGTGTGACAGTGAAACGTGCGTCGTCAGTAGATGATGTTTATGTCTGTTAGCCATCGCATTTGTGATGCTGAGGTGGAATCGCGTCGTCAACGTTGTCTGCATCGTATGTCAATACACGGGTGTCCTGGTGACAGGCATGTCAGAAATGCTGAAAACAAATTGTACGTACGTGCCCGTCCAGCCAGCCCGTTACCCTATGACACATTTCTTCCTTCGTACATCGACCTCAGCACAAATTGTCAGACATACTAAATATACAATATGTTACAATGAGCTAAACCGTAGCAACAAAGTTCTGGCCGTTTTCAGTACTCAAGCTTTCATTACCACAAAAATACAAAGCATCAAGCATATCTCGATTTGTATATGGTGCGAATTCTTGGTAGGATATCAATATACCATGCGAATAACCATATGTGAACGATATATACGCTCTCTCAAATCTGTTTTCCTACAGAATTACAAACTTTGGCATCAGAACTGGATTGTCTTTATGCCCCAAAAAATGTACTTACGGGTTTTGAACAATCCAAAATGTGAAAGATGTGAGCCCGGTGTAGATGACCCCGGTGAACGGAACTGCGGCCGGGGAAGCGGTGGTGCAATGACACATTATATCTGTGTCATCTATATTTGTCGGTAAAAATGCCATAGACTGGGCAGTGGGCTGGATATCATATGACATACCGGGAATAATTTCACACGAATAGTTGTGAAGGAAGAATCATATAAAGACCGGGGCCTGAGCGACGCCATATTCATTGTGCTCGTTAATAATGGAGATTTGTCTTGGTCATACTTACAAGTTTCGTTCTTCAACTGTTTGGGTCGACATTCAAATCGTTTGAATAAACTTTTCTATACCAGTTTGTGATTGGACTATTTGTTTATGCTATATGCTACACCAGCCTCTAACTACTAGTAAATATAAGGCATGTTCCTGAAATGATTTATCATTCAAATGGTTAGTTTGTAGATATAATATTTACATTTAAGAACGTTGCGTTGTTTCGTCTTACTCTCCAAGCAAAGGTTTAGGGTGTGGCTTATTTTTGACGTATTTGTTAGGCGTTTTATTGGTAAGAACGTCTTCTTTTACACCAGCCAATGGACAGTGGCAAATGGACACTGCCCTGCCAGTTATACAGTCTTGCCACTTTGATGCTGCCTTGTAGCCACCAGAACAAAAGGTCTGCTTGGAGATTAGTTTCGTCAATTCTTCCGTGACCGAAAGCAGTGTGCTGTGCACATACATTGTATACATCATAAATAGGGTTATATGTGTACAGTTATTTTGATGTCCGGCAACTCATGAGCTCAACTGGATCCGGGCCAGACTGTATAATGAACTGCGACAGAACCGACTCCTGGACTATAATTGTGTGATTTATACTGTCCCGACAGCAACAGTTACGTCTGAGTTATACATAGTCTATAAATGAATGTGTTTGTCTGGTTGGGTTGTAGTGTGTACGTATCACGGCCGCTTCGCTGTCATTTCTGCACCAGTCCAGGCTCTGCCCTTCCCTAAAAGGACATGGCGATGCCTTCTACAGTGTTATGGATACAAAGGGAACAGCAATAACCTAGTAATTCGAGCCCGCTTGATGGCGTTCAGCGGCCTTGGCGTATCTATGTTCACTTGGACCAAATTCCGGACAACACAAACCACGAAAGGATTGGTCTCCAGAAAAGATGTGTAATGCTTAACAATTATTCTCAGTTATTAACAGTTATTACAAAACTCAGTGTCTGTGAGATATTAAAAAGTTAGACAATATTGATGACAACACACTAGTTGTTGCTTATAATGTATTTTATAGGAGCACCACCGTCACCGATATCCATTGCAACTGGTCATCATAAAATGTCTCATAAACAAATGGCAGGATAGCTCTGAATTCGAGCCCAGAACATTCAGGCATTTGTTATAGAACAGTGAAAATGGCCGTGAAGTTGGTCTTCCAGCAACAATAGCAGTTTTAGTACATCTATATAAAAATTATCATTTTTTATGTATGACAAATGATGCAACAATGCTGCCAATTTCCTGAAAAGAAACCTGACTTGGTCCAACTAATGCTAATATTACAAATTGTAATGTTTTAAACTTTTAAGATAACTTAAAAGTTGTAACCAGAACCTATCTTCTGTAAAGGGAAATAAATGAACTAACCAAAGTGCTAACATTTTTCAATTTGGAAAGTTTGTCTACCAATAAATACTGTACCTGAACATAGGCATATGTCAAAATAGCATTTGTGGACACTTTCGAGTGATTTCTTCATTTACAGGTTCAGACAGTCCAAATTTATTTTCCCAAAATCCAATCGGCTTACTTATAGCTCTTACTATGATTTTGATTCAAAAATTAAAATTCATGTAGTCAAAGAAATAAATTGCACATGGTCATACTGCCAACTATTTTACTTTGTAATTTAAGTTTTTTTCCCAAATACAAAATTTTGCCTTTCCCATCGCATTGCAGTCCACTTTTCTGCAATGTACAGTCCAGTATGCTACTTACAGGCTTTTGACAAAGGAACCTTAATTTCATATAATACTAGCTTTCAACTATGTCAAACAATCTAAACCATGCATGAGAAATAACAATTAACAAACCTATCAATATAAATCAAACATTGCCTTGTGCAACATAAAATATTTGCTGCTAATATGGTAAATTGTACATAGCATGAAGGCTCAAAATAGCTTACTGACATCATGCCTGAAAATCTAATATTTCTTGAATATACATTTAAGCTAACATAAAAAATAAACAAAACGGTGCAGCCACTAGCTTACATCACAAAATTACATGACTTAATAAACGTCTCTTTCACTCTATTATTTGTGACATGTCAGGGTTCAAAATACTTTTTACTCAAGTTACTCACTAGCCAAAAGCTAGCTTGACCATCAATATTTTAGGTAGCCGTCAAGTTAAGAAAACAAGTTGTAAGCCAGGCCACCTGTAACGGTATTTCTCACATGCTGCCCAATGCAGGACACTTTATTTTAGAAGCTGTGAGCCGGGCTGCTGTAAACTTTAAAAAGGTCGCCTTGGATGCAAAAGGAAAAAAGATAACTTGTGCACTGGGCAACCTGGCGCCTCCGATAAGTCTCGCACAGAAAACAACTGTTGCGCAGTGAAATTACGTATTTCGAACCCTGCATGTTTAGTATAGTAATACTTGGGATGGCAATGTACAGTCAATATGCACTGAAGCCTGGGGACTAAGGAAAGGATATAATCAACATGTCTACTTCAGAACTAAAATTTATAATTCCTGTGCCTGGTTAATAATCAGGAAGGAATAGATATTTCTCTTCATTCTTTGAAATTAATCTCAGAAAACAAGGGCAAGAAGATGTACAATGTATAATCAGATTTAAAGAATCACTTGCATCTTATTAGACACCATCAAATAACATTTCAAAATTGCCTTTTTGTTAGTAAACACTGTCAAATCTGTTACTTTGCTCTCTCACTCTCCAAGATTTGGACATACAATCTCATGGTTCTTGAAACTTTGCCTACAGTTTTCTTTTCAGATTTTATAGCCAAACATGTGAAAGCAAAGAATTTAAATATTAAATATTGCCAGAAAAATATTTTAGTGCCAGCATGATAAGACATAGACTGAGATAATTGCATATATTACATGCATGTATACTTTGCACTTATTTCATATAGGGTGATCTCTTGGCTGCTACTTAGCTTCTGTACAAGAGGGTGACACAGAAATATCATAACAATATTTTACATAGTTACTTCTTGCAGCTGTTGGGGCAAACTGTGCACTTATCAAGGTTGGTACTGTGGGGGGAGGGAGGTTTACATTGAGAAGTGCATTGCTGCGGCATTGTGCAGTTAACATATATTATGTACAGAACTATACATATAGGCATTAACAGTACTGCAGACATTGGGAAAACTATGCATAAATAGTAGTTACAGTTGAAGCACATATATTGTTGTGTGTGTGTGTTATATTGAAGATATGTCCTGGTCAGTCTGAGTGCCTGCTGATGTCATACCAGGCGGAGTCTGGGTGGCGGTTGTGTTGGTCATGGGGTGCTGCACGCCGCGCTCTCTCACCACCCTCTGGGCCGCGCTGCTGGAGACACGGCGGGCCGTGATGCGAGCATTCCCGCCTCCACCGCCGCCGCCACTGGGTGGAAAGGGGTTCTGAGCCGGCCCCAGTCTGGGTTCCTCCGGCTGCTCCTGCTGGCTGCCGGGCTCGTATCTGGGGAAAAAATAGGTATGTTACTACTGCTGTGTACCTAAACCCACGTTCAGGTCCAGGTCCGGATTCAAGTCCGCAGAGGTCTAGGTTGAGGTCCTGACTTGTAAGTCCAGACCTAAACCCAGGGCATACTAGTATACAAAATACGGAAGGGTCTTCTCAGTGAACATTTCCCCATCGAAAATGGGGCATCTTTACCGCAAATTTTGTAGCGAGCAGTGCACTACCAGGGTGTAGAAGCAAGATATGTTGTTTGCAGGGCACGTGATGTACATAGGCCAACACTTGATGATGTCCAATGTCAATGTTTTCTTCATTTTGCAGCAAATTTTTGAATGTCCTGGTACTCACCCCAATCTACATATCTGTAGATGTCCCCTGTTGGTGCCGTACACCAGCCCTCGGCCTGTCCCCGGCAGCCAGCAGGCAGAGTTCACGCTCACGTGGCTCCGCCTCTCAGGGTCACAGTGGTGCATGACGCTCTGGACATGCTGCAAACACAACAGTCAACATTACACTTGTTACCTTTGGTATTACATTTCTTTGAATGCTATTGCCTACAATACCTCAGAGCCAGCAAATTTAGTTTCTATTCAAATGGAATATGTTTCTTTGGCAGATACACTAGACATAGACAAAGACAGCAGTGTAATATTCCTGAACAACTTAACTTCCAAGCCATTGACTTGTTATAGAATGTGTACGAAACAACTGGAAACTTGCACATTGTATTGGAATTTGCTCAAAGAAATTCATGGTCACTATCTCTCTCTCACTGTCTAGCGCACACTCTCTCACTCCTATACACTTATTAATAAACACTCTCTCTATTTCATACCCAGCCACAAGACAATACAAACATGCATGTACACACAAGCATGCACACAGACATGCATACAGGCACACACACACACACACAATGTATACACACACATACAGAGTCTATTACAGACACACATAGTATATACACACACACACACACACACAGAGGCACACAAAGACACATGCGCATGCACGCACGCACGCACACACACACACCACACTCACCACACACACACACACCACAAACACACACACACACACCCTGCATACACACCGCACACACACATCCCTCCCCTCCTTACCACCAGAGTGCCCTCCGCTGCCTTCTCTGTGGCCGGCCTGAGGTGGAAGACTTGTGCCACCATCTGTTTGTCCACCAGCTGCCAGTGGAGCATGCGCGAGGCCAGCCCCACCAACACGTAGTTCCCCAGGGGAGAGATACTCACGGAGATGGCGTTGGGACCTGAGGAAGCAGCTAACGTTGTTAACAGTTGTAAATTAGAGGGCTATTTGATGGGATATGGGGTGTGTTTAGGGCCCATACACCAAGGCTATTATATATATACATTAGCCCAAACTCATTGACAATTCACATTAATACGGCTTCTGAAAAACTGCAGTAGCTGATAAAGCCAGCTGTTTACAAGCTGTATACAAAGAGCTGCCCATGATTTTAAGTTTCAGTTCAGTTGCCTTGTTTAACACTTAAAGCTGTTTAAAAGGTGGTTAGACAGGTCTTTTATCATACAGTATGTCCTCTTGCACTGATAAATCCAAAGATAAGCAGTTTTTAAAGGAAAATCTAGTTAAATAGAGTATTGTGTTATCTTTGGTTATCTTCATCACTACAAACCCTGTCCAAGGTAAGGATGAAGCTTATTGCTGACTGCTTTTTTCCATGGGTGTTAGAGTTAGTGTTAGTAATACAACTTGCCACTACCCTCTATTATAGCCAAGCACACTACACATTCCCTACAAATGTACATTGTTGTACTTTGTTTATTACCTTGCAGAGATTCAGGGCTTGAAATTCTTTTCTGGGAATAGGAGCACTGTTGTACCCAAACTTAAAACTTGGGGGCACAAAAAATTGGGGTGCACCATTTAAAACCTTAAACGACAAGATTTTTATTTTTTTTCTGACTGATGCCAACAATATCCTGTATAATATATACATTTAATATCTTTATGAGTAAACCTATGAAAAAATTGGGTCCAACGGTGCACCCACAGAAAAAATTGGGTGCACAGCTCCAATTTTGGGTGCACCAAGTTGCACATGCCCCCAGTAATTCGAGCCCTGTAGAGATTTCTATCATAAACAGTCAGACCATCTCACCAAAGCTCTTGGCGTACAGGATGTCCCCCAGACTGTCCTTCTGCAGGGAGATGATGGACAGGACTGCGTCGTCAGGGAAACCGCGATGACTGGGGATGAAGGTTGCTAGGTTACAGCCGTCCTTGGAGATGTCGATGCTGGCATCGTTGTGGATCTTACAGTGGGGGACGATCACATTTGCACTGGCTGTGAGGGGGGGAGGAGAGTTATTTTTAATTTTGATTTATTAAAATTGTAACAATACATTACAATACACATGGGACAAAGGCAGCTGTTGCTGGTGTTGTATCCCACACATAGAAATAAATAAAGGACAGAAAATACTCATTTTCACTTGAGTCGAGTGAAGAAAGTGTTGTAAAGTGCCTTTTCTTTAAGGGTACAAGATTGGTGGCATGTCAGGACTCAAACCTGGAACCTCTTGGTTCCAAGTCAAGGACTCTGCCGTTATGCCACATGACCTCACATTTTGTCATAATTTTCTTGATACAACTATTACAAGAAGAAATATATTAGTATAAGAAAAATGCTTGCTATGACGTAACATTACTAGTAGTTCACCCTAATGCTTTACATGTGAAAATACGTTGAATATCTTGTATATGACATGTGAAACTGTTTACCATCACTGATTTCTGGCAGTTGGTACTTGGTGAAGTCCCACCACTGTAGCCGATGGGTGGTGTTCACAATGTTACTGGCCACTGCTGACTCTCCTGTACCGATAAAGGCTCCTGTGGGTTTCATTTAAGATGGAAAAGATGAGACATCTACAAGAGGAAGAGACCTAAGATGGTTAGGACTACACATTCAGGGCTCAAAATACCACCTGCAGGTTTGTTGAAAATTTATGTCTCTTACAGGGGTCCACTCAAAAAAAGGCTAGGGTTGGCAGTTTTTTCTAGGGTCAGTCAGGAGACGGGAAACACAACATTTTTTTTCCTTGGCCTTATACGGAAGTACATGTATATTCTTAAACAACATGATTCGCAAGTGCTCTGGAAATTTTCTGTGGAGATTGTGAAGCCTGTACTAAGATGGCTGACATCCTGGGTGCTCACCAGCGATGGCCCTGTTAATTGCGGAGTGGACGGCGTTTGAAGACCGATGAGAGCCGTGGAACACACTGCGGTAGTGGGGGTGGACGTACTCCACTCTTGGCTGAGCCCTACGAGGGGAAGAAGCACCAGAAAAATTTAGATATCATGGTCTATAATACAACCCCTCTTATCATATTATATTACGTTTAAGTGGGATCTTTCTTCTTCAACTGTTCCAGAAAAAGAAGGTCACACCCAACAAATTAGAATTAGCATCTTTTTCATGTAAGTCACAACTAGTCTTTGGGCAAAAATTTGCAATAAATTTTATCATTACAAGACTTAGTGTAATAGTGACATTAGCTAGAATAGTGGTGTGAGAAAACTTGTCATTTATCTTTGGCAACAAAAATCTCCCTAACAAAATAGAACCATGGGATGCATAAAAAAGGTTTATTATGCTCTGCTGACATGTATCTGCAGTGTGGAGCTATCCCACCTTTTACTACATCTGAGGGGAAGACAGAAAAACATAATTCCTGAGTGCCATTTGGATGCAAAGTATGGCTATATCAGACGTCCTTTTGAGACTTATAAAGGGGAACAGGATGTCACCTGGATGATCCTGCCGTGTGGTGTCTGAAACGACCGTGAAGCCGGCGCCGTACCCGCTCACCACCGCGGTCAGATCCTTCCCTGGTGCAGAGAACATCACAAGAAACAATATTGTGAGCACGTCATCAGAACATACGGCACCTGCGCAAAACCCATAATGTATTGTGCATAGCACTTCAGCAGAACAACTCATATAAGGTCTGCAGTTTCCAAATATTGTGTCAGAATACAATTTATAGTTCTAATTCTCTTCCAATGTAGCAACTCTATAGATGCACACACCAGCCATACAAATACACCTGTTACACTCCAAGGTATCCCAGTTTCCAAACTAACCACTATACTTTGTAGGTTTGTATCGTTACCTGTCTCCTTCATTCAGGGCATGTCTGCGCATGATGTAACCCAGGGGGCTACGGTGGCTCTCTGACCTGGAACAGCAAAAACAAAAACGTTTATGATAAATGCTAAGAAGAAGTATTGAATAGCTAAAAATGTAATGGGATGATGGGATAAAATTCTGTCTTTAGAGAAAATAAATTCTGCTTCTAATTGCTCAAGTTTTTAAAATCAACATTGTTTTGCATCACCTGGTATGTTGGCCATAGAAGCGAGATGGCACATTAGTAGAGAAGGCGCTCTCCTGGACCGTACCATCGCCAGTAGAGGTGGGTTCCAGGCTGCCTGCCCTGGCTGTGCTGACAGGAGGCTGGGGTTCTGCGGGGTGGGAGAAGGTCTGCCACACCACTGGCCTGGTCACCGCAGACTGGGACTCGTAACCACTCTCTCCAGACATGGCCCTGGGACAACAAGCTCAACATTCACACATCTTGGATTGGCTTTGGAGAACTAACGTTGCTTCATCACTCAGCTATACTATAAGTTATTTCTGGACTTTTGTTTTACATGCTTCTTAGGACTCCTTTTTGTCATCTTTATTTCAATGACGTTGATAAAGGACAATGTTTCAATTCCTATCTTTTATAAAGAATAAGTGTTTATTACTATGTTTTATTGGAAGATGATGATTCTAATGTTTTTATGTTTCATCTTAGAACAAGTTTTGAGTAATTCAGCTTTTGGACTGCATGATTTACATTTGAATATACTATTCTGATTCATCATCATCAAAAAGAACCAGTTTTTAAGTTGGATTCAACAAAATCTATTCCACTGATAGGCAACAGAATACATATGAAAGACAGATTTTAGTGACAAGCCTCAGCAAACCAGCCACCGGAGCGTATAAGTTCTGCTAACCTCTGAGCCCGTGACCTGAGTGCCCTGAGACTCCTGAGCCGTAGAGAGTCCAGCCTCCTCCTGGCAGTGTTGACCTGATGTGCCTGGTACCTGAGCTGGCTCTCCAGTCCTGACGCACTCTCCGCCTCATCCCCTGCCGCCTGGCTCTCCGCCCAGGTCCTCCGCACCGCCCCCCTCCGCACCGGCCGCGCCGAGAAGTACCCGATCCTGGCGTAGCCGCTGTAGTCTGTGCGGGAAGCCGTCGTGATTTGAACTGGAATGCTTCGACCAGTTGAGCTTTGTGTGGGGGTGATCCGTGCAGTGCTGGTTTCCCTGTTTGTTCCCGCATGTGTGACTGCCTCGGGATGAGCAGGCGGAGTAAAGTGTTCACTCAGGGTCGGCATCCCACCTTCTCCTGCACTCGACTCGCTGGAGGTTCTACTGAGAGCCAGGTTTGCGGGCGATGACCTTAGTTCATCCCTCGGTGGCAGCAGCGGACAAGCTGTTTCCTGTGCAGCTTGGTTCCCACTTTCTCGACCACTGGTGGAAGATCTGCCCACACTTGGAAGCTCTACTGTTGTGCTTGATGTCGAAGTTGACGAATTGTGTGAATGGAGAGAAGATCTGGCTCTCTTGGCCGGAGGCTCCAGGTCTTCCTCTGACTCAGTTCCATCGACTTGTGTGTTTCTGGATGTTCCCCCGTCATTTCTAGAAACAGAGGCGCTGGCTGAACAGACAGACTCTGCAGAGGACGTGGACTGATTTCTCTGGTTCCCCCTAAGTAAGGAGGAAACCATAGAAGTGCTGGTGCTGGTAGTAGTGGATCTATTGCTCTCTGTGGTAGATGTAGCGGCAGTGCCTGTACTTGTGACACGACTGTGCGGAACTGGGAAACTTCTATCCTGGCAGTGATTTGTGCTAGTACTGAAACTGAGTGTCCAGAGATGATGGGGAGCCTGTACAGGAGTGCTGTTGTTTCTTGGAGTCGTACCCGTATTTGTGCTGGAGGGAAGCTTGGCGTCTTTGCTTTCATGAGCCATACCATTTGTCTGGGGCGTGTTTGACCTTGACTGAGACTGGGGTCTCCCAGGGGACGGGTTTCCAAGGTCAAGCAGACCTTCTGCTGCCTGTCTGCGAGAGGTGTTCTCTCCGGGAGGAAAAGTTCCGCCACTGGCAGTACATGTACTTGTGGCAGTTCTGGAAGCTGGCTCACTCTTGATGTTAGAGTTAGCACTGCAGGGTTGTCTCGCATTGCTACCTATCGAGTTGTGTATTGCGTTTGCATCTGATGTGTTTGCAACATTGCCTGGTTTGTGTCTGTCGATGGAACCTGGTGCATTCCAAACAGTTGTGCCAGCCGCGTTAACATTGTTGTCTGGCATGTTGGCACCACTACTGCTTGTGTTGTTTGTACCAGTTTCTGGCAGGTTCACTCCAGCAGTGCTTACACTGGTGCCTTGTGCTGTCACACCACCATTACTTGTTGTATTCACACTGCTTGTAACAGTAGTGTCTTGTGAATTTGCATGACCAAAGGAATTCCTACTTCCACAACCTCTAGAAACATAGGTAACCCCAGGTCTGTTCATACTACTTATGCCAGTATTGTGTACACTAACGGTGGTTGTCAGTTCAGAACCAGTTGCAGTAGACTGGCTGGCGATGTTCTGTCTGATGTTAGACCGGTACTGCAGGCTTCTCCGGCTGACAGTGTCGTTGGTGTTACTCGTGGTGCTTTGCATACTCGGGGAGGCCGTCAATCTCAGCCGGTTGCCTTGACTACTCTCCAAGCCACGCCTGTTGCCCAATCCCGGCACTTCGTCCGACGGTAGGTTCTCGTACCTACTCAGCGTGGATGACGGCTGAAGCCCTAGCCGTGCTCGCAGCCTGTCAATGAACTCCTGCGTTCTGCGTATCCTCTGGTGGTTGATGGATAACCGAGTGTCCAGGTCATGTAGACTTGAGGAAGCCCTGCCCGCTGGTCCAGGTAAACTAGGAGGCAGGTTACTGCTTCCCCCTCTCCTAGCTGTCATGACAGCGTTGTCGGCACGGTTGAAGGTCGGGTCCGCTAAGGTCCGTGCAGAAACTCGCCCGCGGGGTACCAACCCCTGCTCGTGACCCTGGAACGACCCCATCATGTTGCGCATCTCATTCTCCATCTGGTCGAGGCGGGCTGCAGCGCTGCTGAGGAGCTCCAGGCGGCGGCGCAGGTCCTGCTCCATGGTGTGGAGGCGGTGCAGGACGCGGGAACGCCGGTCCCAGACGGACATGCGAGGGGGCAGCTCCGAGTCGTCGGGCTCAGGCAGCATGTCTGTTTCTGAGTCCGAACTGTCCACCTGCACTACTCCTGCATCAAAGGGCTGGGAAACACAAAAACAGTCAGAAATTTCCATGAAAAAATGGTGCTGTTTCCATTTTCTCTACACACGAGAGCTGCTACATTTACATGGGTAATGACAAAGCTCTACCATCATACCAGCAAAGGGCTTGAATCACATCATAAAAATAACATTTATTGTGACAGTTCCTCCATATTCGACACACCTGTACTCTACCACTTGTACATGTACTCACCCGAACATTTGGCACATTGGCAATCCCTGTCAGTAAATGGTGACCAAGTGGATCAAACTTGACAAGTCTGAAAAACAGTAGAAAGAAAACACTCTTTAGGTCGTCCAAGCTAACCTAAAAACTTGAATGTATGCATAACTACAAATCTACCAGTTGACCCTTTTCACATGACACAACATTATGTTTAAGTCTTACAAGACCCCCTTTCTTTTACCTAAAACTGCCAGTGATATAGCCATTGTCATTATTTTGTACAAATAATCACTACTTGAGTCCAATGACAGGAAACTGCATGTAAGAACCAAGATGTTAGTGAACACAATGAGTTCTCTCCTACCTTATCTTCTCGGTCTCCCGCGCTGTCTTGACGTAGGCGAACGGTTTGTCCTGGCTCCAGTCCCAGAAGTGGAGAGCGTTGCCCGTGGCGATCACCAACACTTGGTCCAAGGGGTGAAAGGTCAGGGACGCGATGACGGTGTTGGACTCTGACGTCCACCTTTCACTCCCACCCTGTCGTTAGGTTTGAAGAAAGGAGGAGAAGGGCTTTACCAGGGATCAAAATCTTTTATTCTACATACCTGCACTGGTGCAGCTAACATTGAAAATCACCTGCACCAGTCAAATTGTACCTGCAAAACTCAGACATTAAAGGAAGTATGGATCGCTTTAAAAACTGTTTAGAAACCATTGCCATTATTTTTATTACACAACTTAGGTGATGACAGCCAATACAGCTAATGAAACTCCACATACACCTACATTTGTACATAAACTCAGTATATGGACCAGTGCAGGTTTGGTGCAGGTACACATCAGAAGTAGTACCTGCAGCTCCAATTTTACCTGCATATGCAACCAGTATTTCAAGCCCTGCAAGGGCTATTACATGTATATAAAATAAAATTGAAACAAGGGCTGCAAGAGGATTTTTATTATTGACTTTATTGAATCAAACTATACAAATGTGCATGAAGACATTGTTTTAGATATGAAGAAATTAGACTCATCCATATCAACAGAGCTGTTTACAAACATGCAATGTCATCTTTTCACAACATATTTCTTAACAATAATAATTTTTCTGGACAAGAAGACTTTTAAGGGGGAAAACCTGGCCCCACTGGCCCAGGATGAACTAGATAAAAAATGGTAATTAGAAATACAGTAGTAAAATACATCACAACTCACATGTAGGTCCCACACTCTGACTTCTCCATCCAGGCAGCCTGACGCCAGAATCTCGTTGGACGAGGGGTGAAAGGTCACGCACCAGGGCGTGCGGGAATGGCCGACCAGGGTGCGGATACACTTTCCCGTACGCAGGTCTGTCACATGGATGTTGTGATCACCATGGCTGGAAGCCATCAGTGTTCTACAATAGATAAAATATAGCATTATTTTAGCAAGACATGAAACGTTACTATGGTACTCTCTCCGATTTCCACACCGCAAGTCTGGTTGGAAAGGCAAATTGGAAGAATACGACTTCTTCATTATAAACTCACTCAAAAAACAATAAACGCTAATATTACCAATATTATCATTGGCTAGTTAAGTTTTCATCTTACCTGACAATACATGTATTCTCCTACATGTGTACATTTCTTTGACAGTGAGGAGCTTAATTAAGAAAAACAACATTGCATGGGATGACACATTCAGTATTTTCTTAACCTCCAAGCAGATGTTGGAAGAGGCTTAATGGTTACGTTTCCTAGCTGCCCTTCTCTGTGAGCCTGGGGTAAATCAAGGTAGTTTAACTCAGTCAAACTTTGAACTCCTTGGTCAAACTACCCCTCAACTGGTTGAGATTAGAATTTTACTGTAAGTCTACAAATTTCCGCGGTATATTTAGATTCGCGGAATTCGCGGGGACCTTTGTACCGCGAATCTATTTCCCTGCGAATATGTTTTGCGTAAGTGCGCCCCCCTCCCCACATGCATTAACGACGGTAAGTGAAACACAAACACACGCGATTCACAAATCACTGCAAATCAACTTTATTCTTAGCAAATGTTGAGTACCAAAATTTTTTTTAAGTTATACTGATGTCAAAAAATTATAATATTATGAGACACCGAATCGCGATACTGCGGCACTGGCCGTGTCAACCGTGTACCGCCGAAAAAATCTATGCGTGCAGAGCGCCGGCCATGCGCGCCCGGGCGCTTGAAAATTGCGGGAACATCGGGCATATCAACAAGTATTTTTATGAAAAATATAACGGCTGGTACCTGGGAAATGTTAGTTGGTTATCTTTTGCGCCCTGCTTTGCGGGCGTTTTTTTCTTCTTCTTGTTTTGCTGGATAGAAACGCTCACCGTGGGCCTACAAAACCGAAGGCGACCTTTGCATACTTCCGGGTTCAAAATCTCGCCGAAGACGGCATAAATTTGCTTAGTAATATATATATATATTCTTTCGATTATGCATTTCTTCACTAGAGTATCGATGTGTTAAAGTCGTGGAAAATAGCATTTTAGCGCTTATTTCCGAACAAAGAAAATTGTTTACACGTGCGTCAGATCGATCGTCAGCTTTACCGCCGCCAGTCTCGCGCGGTGCACGAAACAAATTTTTGTGCCGCGTTTTAGGAGATAAATGCCGGAACACGAACTTTTATTATTTTAAATAAACACTTTGCAAATTTTTGTTTGAAAAATAGCCAAGGAGAAATCGCGAATCTAAAAATACCGCGGATTGTCCATTTTCCCGAAACCGCGAACTTTAGGCACCGCGAATCTTAGAAGAGACTTACAGTATCTAATGCCTGTAGGTTGTTACCCCTGGTCCACCTAATGACCCTTTTTGCAGCCTGTTAGATTTTTGTTAGGTTCTGAAATGCCCCATGCTCTACTGGGCCCAATATCTTGCCACTACTGAATATGGCAAGAAATTGGACATAGCAAAACAGGGTGCATTTCAAAACCTAACAGAAGACCTAACATTGAATAATATTGGCTCAAAAGTTCATTTGCTGACATTTCAACATCTGACTATGGTATTTCAGGTATTCCTACTTCTATTGTCACACGTGCCATATGGTAGCTTTGTCTTGTAGAACAAACACCAAACGATGCCAATTTGCAGCTCCAGGACATGTGATGATCACGTGACCCCTAAACTATTCCCTGGGGAACATCCCAGAACTGTGGACTTACCCATCATGGCTGAAGGCCATCAGGAATGTGGTTCTGGCATCTCCTGGGAGCTTCACAGCCTGCACAGGGGGACCAACCATCATGCACATGTCAATACACACCCTCATGGGGAGGGGGCTATTGAAGAAATAGTATGAAATGATAAATGCTGCTGTTCTAAAATCATTAGCATGGAATCCATCCCAAAAAGCTATTGCCTGCTCTAGTAGTGGCAGTGACTACTAGAACCAGCAAATTGCTCGGCAAATAACATAATTTCTTTCAATTGATATGAAATAGATGTTGGATTTTGTATCAATTTACATGTGAGGCCTCTGAGAAATAAATTTTAATATAATAACCTTCATCATTAAAAGTTCATGTATACTGTTTTGTCTTTTTAATTAAGACACAGCCTCAACCATACTACCTATGATATCTACTGTGGTATGGCAAGGACAAATGATAAAGAAAAATGCAACTTGAAAAAGTCTTTTGATTCTCTGAGATTGCAATTCTTGTCAGAAGATTGCATAATATAATTTGCAACAAGTAGCATAATATATATTTGTATTGCTTTGTAGAGAGATTTCACCCTTTGCTGAGCCCCCATCGTCCAAGTCATTCCAAAATTTCCAAGATTTACATTGAGATGTGCATAATTTACAAGGGTACACCCAAATTTGAAGCAAATTTGCGGACATCCTCTTATTCTTAAATCAATATCTTCCATCCGGTTACGGTAAACCATAACAGCAACTCAGTAAATATATCTACATGATCTCTCCAAACGCTATGATACGTAAAACAACGTCTCAAAAATACAAAAACGTAGTTAATCCGACCTGATTATCCTGGGAAAACAGAGCAGCTTTGTCCTCGGCCAGAAACCTCAGTGCTGCCGGCGTACACTGCCCTGGAGCGCCGACTTCCCGCCCGCGAAGGGCTGGTATTGCATTTCTACTCCTCTTCGACATATTGCAACTCGCCGTGCTTTAGTTACGATCTATTTTCCATGGAATTCAAGGCTTAATTGCCTTCTTGATCAGGCGAAATCCCGAGGAAAAAAATTATATGCTCTGACAGGAATCGTTCAGCTGGCATTGGATAGAGAATTCAGTCCTTTTCCTGTAGCCATTTGGTGCCTGGTGCAGCATACTTCAAAGATGCTTCATAGTAAATTTGTCTCCAAAGGTAATTTTTGCGATGGTATTTTGCAGATGCCGGTTATACAAACACAAGTAGAGACAGAGATGATCTCAGACGTGCTGCAACTTCTCTGGACGACATAAATTCAATATGGCTGCGGTCAGCCCTAAGGCCCTATAGGTAGACGCAAATTTGCACGATCATAGAAAGTTGTAAACACAGAGTGTAAACATAAATCTTATCAAAATATCCATAAAACTATGTGTAATAATATTGAGTTTTCTATTCTTTTGTATCCATTATACAAGCATAACACCATTCACATACCCAAAATACTGCGCCTGCCAGGTTGGGGCCCTGGGCATCATTTTGAGCAGGTTGACAATCTAATGTTAACGTTAGATTTTTAAAAAATTAGATTTCCTTGGTACACATGCATGTATGAGCAATCGTATGATGATGTCACTATTCCTTGAAAACTTAAGACCAGGTGGGACATATTCCTAAGGACTTTAAATTGCTGTCAATTTGTTTTGAGTGAACTGTTTATATCTATTCCTTCACTTCACCTTCACCTTCTCCATCTATTCCTAGATTAACATTATTTTGAAGCAAAGAATGAACGAAGCCTCATTTACATATTATAAACTCATAGTCTTTGTCATTCATCTGATTGATCGCATGAGCTTTCAAACGTTTTCCAGTATTAAAGTTTGTCAGTAAGTCTGTCAGTAAGTTTGTTTAATGATGATCATAGAATTGATGTAATGTTGATGGTTAAACAACTTCGTAAAAATGTTTACCTCCATGGGCATACTAATGGGAATGAAACATTTTTGAGGTTTGCCCATCAACTTTATCTCTATATTGTTTTCAAGGTTATGCTTTATTGCTCACTTCTATGCCATACAGCAAAGAAAAGTCCACCTTTACAAATCATCAGGTAATGTTATGACTACATACGGGGTCGTCTGGGGTCATGACCGGAATTCCGGTGCATTGTGGGAACCCTCTCTGCTCAGGTGGCTCAAAATGGTGGAGCTGTGCCGCTTTGGTCGATTTCTTCCTACAAATCCACACAGAAACACGTGAATTTAGCCTCACAACGGTAAGTTTTACACATTCTGTGTTTTGCTAACGCTTCTCGGCACCACCTGTGTTATTTTGAACGCCACAAGTTGAGCTGTGTGTGTGGCGCGGGAGCAAATTGCACGGAATTTGTCAACAAAGTCCGGCTGTGCGGAGATGCCATGTTTGAGGATGGGCTCCGAGTCCGACGCCGCATTTTCAGCAATCAACTTGGAGACAGCTGAAAGTAAAAGTTGCACATCTTTAGAGAACTTGAGACGACGAAGACGACCTTTTCTGTGATTTCTAGCAATAACAACGAACTATTGAAACAGCTAGCTGTGTTTTCAACATCTCCCATGCCTCCTGCAGTGTTGTAAATTTGACACAAAGCTAGACCGCGTTCTCTTTCCCATGATTCTTCATGGTGCCTAAAATTGATAACCTCACATACCAATCTGTTAGTTCGCTTGTATTTCTAATTCCCGGAGTATATCCAGTTATTTCTGCAATAATTTGAAAGGGATCCATGCTTGAATTGAACTTAACCTTGAACTTAAATCTAAGTTCTAACATTCTAACGTTTTGCAACATTTTGACAGGAACGCCCAACAGCTAGGTGCACGTTTTAATTATTGCTGAATATTTATATGCCTTCCAGGAGTTTACTATTAGCTGGTGCCTGCGTGCCAACGTTTGGATGTGTACTTACTTGTATGGTAATTTGCACAACTGATAATATTTATGCTTCAAAAGGCATTACTCTAGTATAATTATAAGATCTCAATGGCAGTACCAATATGTGAATGACTTAGTATTGAGTCATGTTTCTGAGTAAGAGTTTTTTTTTATTCGAAAGTTATCTTCAGCATGTAAATTTTTGCATTTTTGTTTAGTATGTGTACAAGCCCGATGCAGGATGTTTTCCTGGAACTTACTGAAGCCAAGGTTCAAGGATTAGTATGCTGTGGACACAATATTGGTTCATCCATATCCAATACGACAAGAGCAGGAAAAGTCTAGTTCTATTGCCAGGCTTAAGCAATCAATATACAACAACTCTAACTTCTAAGACCACCAGCAAAAAAAAATATCAAGTGTTGGTGCAAAAAAATATTGGACGCCATATAAAACCTGTTAGTACTAGTAGTTTCTTCCAAGTCAGGCATTGTTGTGTATTACAGTTTGTATCTGGTTTGTATACACTTTCTTTTCTACTCACCCACAGTCAATATCTCTCCCAAAATCTCTCCCAACCATGATGCTAACATTCCTGTCCAAAGGAAATGTACATTTATGTCAAACATAGGTGAGAAATATCCAAAATGTATTCTGACCAGTCTCGTCTTTATGTCTCTTTGGTATTGTAGTCTACTAGATACTAAATGCCAATCAATGGAAGCTCAGGAATACAAAGGAACTGAAGTATTGATTGTAAAATCAATTGTCAAGTGAATCGATTGGTATGAATTTAACAATAGTCTGTTAGATAGTCATTACCATACTTGTTTGAATCATAGACATTGTTACATGTAATGTTAGTAATACTAATAGATGATGTAGTGTATGAAGTTTTAGTAAGTTAGTAAGTATTCATGAGAGTTATTTACTTGCATACACGATACAGTGTAGCAGTTGACATTTGAAACATGTAATTCAATTGTACCTCTAACAATTGCTGGGTTACATGTAATACCGTTATGTACATTCCTGGCCCTTGGCTATAAAGGGATTAGATATAAAACACTTTGGGATAGACCAGGATGTTGATGAAAGGGGGAGATGTATATGTGTAAAGATAGGGAAAATATAGTGTAACATAAAGAATGCTCTGTAACGTAAGGCTGAAGATTATACAATGTACCAATTTTGACAGAAAAAAAAAACATTGTTGTGTGACTGTTTTAGTGTTAAGTGCCATTTCCGTTTTCACACACACACATTCACACTTTCACACACATCACGTAGAACTATTATCTTGATCAAACCCTTAACAGCTGTGATAACAATTTTGCACAATAGGAATTTTGTTTTGTTTTTAGTCTTAAGTTGGAAGGTCATTTATCATTTGTTATTAGATCCTCATGCTAGTTTTAGTGGAGAACCGTTGTACAGCTGCTTTATGAAATGATTTCAGTCTGTGTTTATTGTGATTCACAAGAAGTGGTTCAAGTTGGAAGTCATACTAGGATTGATGCGGTAAAACCATAAATAGAAAAGATGATGATTTTATCAGTTGTCCCAGAATATCTGTGTTCCATGTAATGCTGAATGTACATGTAAGATTTTGTTATAGTGACAGTCTGGCAATGCAAGTCCTACTTGTCTGTATGTAGGCTACAGATCCCTGTTATGGGTCATTCTCAATATGATATTCATAATCATAAGAAGATGCAAAAAGACATGGAGAAAAGTGGCTGATACATTATGATACTGTTAGCCTATGTTACATGTAATCTGTCACTGTTGGGCTGATTTTATCTCTTCCCTGAGAGTGGAAGGGCTGCTAGAAGCTTGATGTAGTTTAGCTATGATTGTGAAAATAATGATACTGTCAGGTTATATGTTTGTAGGAGTGATGATTTCTCAAAGCTGAAAATTTTGATCTGTTCCTGTACAGGTTGTAAAGTTGCGTAACAGAGATGGGTGACCAGGACAGTTCAGAGGAGGAGTTCCCCAGCCATGGCAAGAGGAAGGCAGGCCGGCAGAACATTCTTACAGACGACGTCTCAGAGGGAGAGTCAGATGGAGCGGTAGACTTTGAAGACGATGGTGAGATTTCTTTAAGCTCGTACAGATTGAGAAGAGATGTCTTGAACCAGCTAAGAAAGATAGTGAGACTTTATTATGGCTTTTTTTGTTGAGAGATGTCAGTGTTAGAAATGCCCACCTGCAATCTGCATTTTGCTTAGACATTTTCAATACTGCAGAAGAAAATTCAACATTTGCAGAAAGTATTTCCGAATTGCAGAACAAAATTCTGCACTATTGGGCAGTATTGCAGAACACTGAAAAAAAACTATTTCTACCACTGGATGTGCACTTCATTTAAGACTATATACTGTATAAACCAGCTTTTCATTTAAATATGTTCATGACGAAAAAAATCCATACTCAAGAAAGGCAGTAAAAGTCTGTCCTAAGAGTTTATCACTGTATTTTACCTGTACAGAAGACATGGAGGAAGATGAGTCAGGTTCTGAAAGCGGTGAAGAAGAAGAAAGTGATGAGGATGATGATGATGATGACAGTCTTGATGATGAAGAAGACAGTGGGGAGGAGGAGGAAGGAAGTGACAGTGAAGAGGAAGAAGAGGAGGAAGATGAACAAACTGAGGAGGATGGACAAGAAGTGGAGACAGTGAATGGTAATCAGGGTGACAGAAACTTGGGCGTATCTTGCCAGGAAAGTTCAGACAACTTTGCTGAAAGACAAAGCTAGATCTGAAGAGGAGATAGAAACATACAGGCCATATAGATGAAAGATTCCTTCAACATTTTTTGCCCCCAAGGTAGCACTGGCTAGCATAGCATAGCCCCAACTAAAGATTTTGAAAGAGAGAAGGATGACAAAACTATTTGCTTCTTGAGCTATCAACAATGCAGGTAGTTTATTTTTTAACAATTGTTTTTTTTTTTGTACAGGGAAGGCAAATGCACCCAAGGATGCAGTTGATGAGGAAGAGGAAAGCTGCCCCATCTGTCTGAATGAGTTTGAACTGCAGGAGGTCGGAACCCCTGCTGCCTGTCAACACAACTTCTGTATCGACTGTATTCTGGAGTGGTCTAAGGTATATACTGGCATTGGCATCTCGAACTCTTGTAAAAATAATCTCTAACTCTTGTAGAATTAATTAGAAATGATAAAGATTTGCCATTAAACAAATGTCTTAATTCCCCAAATTTTTTTTTCAGAATATAAATTCCTGCCCTGTAGACCGTCAGCAGTTTAACACAATTCTAGTTCGAGCCAAGTTGGGAGGCAAGGTCATCAAAAAGGTAAGAAGATCCAGCCAGACACAGTTACATTCATAAGACATCTCCTGGCATGCGTACAGATATTTGAACAAGAATTTGAACTCCAACCATAACTCCAACCATCTTAATTGTTGTACAACTTGAACTTCAAGGGTGTTAAAGAATAGAATGTCATTTCTTTTTGAGCACGAGAGCTATCTACCATGCAAAATTAGTGGCCAGATCACGGAATATCAAAACTGGAACTTCTGCTGCAGTACCATAACAAGCCACTTGGAGGCTCAAAATCTAACCATTTCCAGGTCTCATCAAGACCTAACGACATATCAAATATCGAGACAATCCATCTAAGCCTTCAGTAGTTTCCATGTTGACACAGACAAATACACACAAACGCTACAGAAAACATTAAACATTCTTGGTGAAGGTATAAAACTAGACTCCTATTGTTTTAAGTTAAAACTTTTGATCCAACACAAAGAAGTTCTTTCACCTGGAGCTTTTGATCAGTCACTCAGGTCTTGCTCAGTAAGTGAGAGAACTTCTTTGTGTTGGAACAAAAGTTGTAACATGTTACTACCAACACAGATGAACTTTCTTGATGGACTCCTCTTGTTGTTTTTTTCCAGCTGAAGGTGAGTGATGTGAACCAGTTTGCGGATGTGGAGGAGGAGGAGGAAGACAACACGTACTGTCAGGTGTGCAGACAGCCCACCAACGAGGACAGGATGCTGCTGTGTGACAGCTGTGATGCAGGGTAAGGAACAGCACACCGGTGAAGGAGATCTCTCCATCTACAACACCTGTGTCTGCAAGATGCCTCTGAGCCATGTACTCAGAGTCATGGCAATACAAAGAAACACCATTGTGATTAAGTAACATGTGGCAACATGCAGATTTATATTCCCAGCCGGCGGTCTAATTAAACGGGCTTGGAAAATGTCATGCCATATGGCAATGCCATTGTTTATGTACATGTGGGATGCTGCTCAAGCATTGATAAGTAAAACAATCACAGCACAATGGACCTATACCATTATTACGTCACAGTTTGTTTACCGCAATGAATGCCGGTCAATCAACGTTTATATTGTACAGGGGTACGTAGCGCGGTGTGTGTTTGTGTAGCATTAGCCTAATATAAGGCTTTTAATACAGTGCTACTTTCGTCTAATGTCACAACTAAATCACCCATTACGGCATGTAATGCTGTGTCAACACAACTAGACGCAGCAAAAATCAGACATACCTTACTTTGAAAACTTTGAAATGATCTTAATTCTTTAACTGACCGCTCTAGAATGTTCTTTAGAACAGGTACATATGTAAACAAACTGTGACGTAATAATGGTATAGGTCCATTGTCAGTCTAGTACATGTATAACAAGCATGTTCTATAGAACACGGAAAGATTCCAGTTGAGTTACCTTTTATGAGGATCTGTAAAATACTTCAAATGTCTACAAAAGAAGCAGAGCAAGCTACATGTATCAAGAAGGGTTTGGTTGATCTGTTCTTGTGACAGCTTGTGTCCTTGGTTTAACCTGGTAAAAACATTGTTAAGTAATAGTACTAATACATTGCGACATCATTGTTGAGTAGTACATGGCAATGCTATTTTTTAATTGTGACACACCACAGCTACATGTATTATTAAGTAAGAATGATGAGATTGACACCGCTCTTTGTCAGTCATGTTCTTTAGAACGTCATAAACACAGTTACCTCTTCTGGGAATCTCTAGAATGCCACAAATGTCCACAGTAGTCACTAGTGACATTAATTTACAGGTTGTCATTGTTTTAATTACAAACCATCTGATCTTCATCCTGTTATGTAAAGCTGTGACACATTTTTTATTGTACTAACTACAAAAGTTGCTTTTCTGTATCTGTTAACTACATTCTCTGTTTACATGTAGATTGAATTTATTTAGTGACTTGCAATGTGAGCCAGCTCACAGCCAGCTAATTTTGGGCTGGGTAAATGTAGCCTTTGCTCTTTTGTTTTTCAGATACCACATGGAGTGCCTTACTCCCCCTCTGGATGCTGTCCCTATTGAGGAATGGTTCTGTCCACAGTGTGCCCCTGCTGGTAAGATTTAGTCTCATTTCTACACAGACTATCATATAAGTCTGGTTAAAAACTTCAAGCTTCTACTCTCTTTATCATATCTCTATTATGAACTACATGTATCTAATATGAACATGTCATGATGCTTTAGAAAACTGTTGAACTTGAGGATCCCTGTTTCATTGGTATGTAGATACACAAGTTATTGTACACTGACTCAAGCTGACCAAAAAATGCCTTGCATACAAACACAGGCTTGAAATACTGGGTGCATGTGCACCTTGGTGCACCCAAAATTGGAGCCGTGCACCCAATTTTTTGGTCTGGACATATTACCAAAAGTAAATTTCGAGCCCTGAAACACTAACTTACAAGATTTCTGTCTGTACTTTAAATTTACTGAATGAAAATAATTTTCATTTACCGGTAGTCAAAATAGCCACGACAGGCATGAAATGCTTTCTATTTCTCCCAAATTTGTATTAATTTTTAACTTTAAACTGTTTACTCAGAGAGTTCCCGTGAAGAGGAGGAGGCACCACAAGTCACCCTGCTGCCCGTGTTGCCTGTTCGCCGCGCTATCGCTCGCACCATGGCGAGTGAACGAGTACGCGCACGGGTGAGCCGTGTCCGAGCTGCCCGGTCAAGGGCGCAGGTAACCATGGTGTTAACAGTCTTCAAACAACCAATCACATCAAGTGTTAACTTGTAAAACTTTCAAGTTACAATCAAAATAAACCCAGAAGACTATTCACTACTTCAGCAAGTAATTTCATCGTTATTAATTACAAGGGTCCGTTTATTTTTATTATCAACTTATTTTTTTTCTGTCGTCCAAACAAGTGTAGTTTATTGTAATGATATGCCATGCCATCACAACCAGTTGTAGGCAAAAAGTGTTTGGCGGTTATGTGATTTGCCTACCAATAATTTGCATATGCCTGCCAATAATTTGCATATGCCTACCAATAATTTGAATATACCTACCAGTAATTTGCATGTGCCTACCAATAATTTGAATATGCCTGCCAGTAATTGATGCAAACAAAAACAGAGATGACTCACATGATTGATTTTTCCAGCCGTCAGCGTCTCGGTCAGTGTCCCGCCGAGGCAGAGGCCGAGGGCGCTCCAGCTCAGCCCGCGGCCGCAGCACGTCCAGGTCTACGTCCCGCGGCCGGGGGCGGGGGAGGGGGAGGCGGCGCGGGACCACCCGGCGTAAAACCACGCGGTCACGGTCCACAACAACCACCAGGAAGAGGGGGACGAAGAAGACGACTACCACAACTGGTACGTTTTACTTTAACAACAGTTAGTGGGAAATGGGGCTCATAGAAAAGGTTAATTTGGGGACAGCTAAAAAGTACACTTCTTGATTGGTCTTCCTAAAACATTCATGCTTCAATCAACGCTGCATTACCAATTTCAGCCTGAAGATGGTGCCTCTGTAAAGTTTATTTCCAATCTCTGACCTTGGAGACTTATTTTGGGTGCAGTCAATTACGATTATCTGTAGTATCATATGAAGCTTCCTTATTTGACTATCTAGGAACAACAGTTAAGAGAAGGAGGAGAAAGAAGAAGAGGAGAAAGAAGACGAGGAAGGTTAAGAGAGTGTCAGTTAAGAAGGAAACTCCCTCAACTGTCAAGTCAAGACTGGCAGAGAGGCTTTCACTGGGCAAGCCCATACCAGGTACCTGTGTGTTTTCATATCAAGTCCAATTGTCTTCATTGGAAGTTGTACTTGAAGGTAACAGCTCAAACCATTTGTAGCTTCTTTCTTTCTGTCTGCGTCCCTTCAAGGCTTTTTTAAATTATTATGTTTAGCTCTCTGTCTTAGTTTCAAGTGGGGAAAATGTTTCCTTTTCCAAGTTTAATTGTCTTCATTGGAAGTTGTACCTGAAGGTAACAGCTCAAACCATATCTTCGTTCAAATTGCCTTCAAGGCTTTTCTAATATTATGTCTAGCTCTCTATCTTAGTTTCAAGTGGGAAAAACATTGGCATTGTAAGCTCAAAGCATCTGTAAGCTCTTTCTTCAAGCCTGTTCTAAATTCCTTTAGCTTTCTGTCTTAGTTTTACTCTCATGCTGGTGCATGTTGTATTACAGGAAGCTCAGTTCCATCAGTGAAGAAGGCCAGTGACAGAAAAGCAGACTTTGTACAGAAGCCTCTCATGGTGTTTGGGGATCCCGATGGTCTGCACTGCTTCGAAGACGGGTATTGAAGAATCAAGCTTTTATAGATAAACTACATCCCCTTGTTTTCATCAGGTTACATAGGATATCATATAGTACTTTTCTCAGAGCTTCTCACTGGAGCTTTTGACTAGAGTGATGCTTTTTGCTGCTATAGGAAAGTCTTTAAAAAATCACTCATAATCAATTTCAAGTTTTATTTGTTTAGTAGTATACTCTCAGGTATTTTGACCTGGTCTAACGTTTAGAATTGTACAGTACCATTCCAACTTGGGTGACTTATCACATACAACCACATACATCGTAAGAAGGAGGATATCCAAATTCCATGTGTTTGATCAATAGACAACAAATTTTTGTAATGATTGAAACTGCTCAGTGTTGTAACAGTGTCTGTAGAGCCATTAAACCTTGTGATTTATTTTGCTGTTACCTGCAGTGAGGAAACCTTTCCTGAGACAGCAGCTGTCCCCGTGACCAGCCGGTACAGGCGCGCTCACACGCTGTCCAAGTCTGCGCTCAGGTCCCACCGACCTGTCCGTAGGGCTGTGCCCATTGGAATAGCAAGGTGAGCAGCAGTGTTAAAATAGAAGTCAACCCACAGGATAGAGGCAAATAGTGGGCTAACATCAAGCCTCAGCATCAGTGTGCACGCATATCTAACCTTTTTTTGACGGGGAACAACAGACAATAAACCAGATAGTGTGAGTGAAGTGTATTGAAGACAGACCAGACCAGGGATTCTAGTCATTGTTATGGAAAAGGATGGAAAACCAAGTAAATATTTGCTGTCTTTAAGTTTAACCTTCTCTCTGCTGCATAACCCTGTAAGCAATGTAAATTTGGTGCCAAAACACACTGAGAAAATGAAGAGCCTTGTATATGTGTACCAGGGTTAGCTTGAAGACTTCTGGAGTAGCTACAGCATGAGATATTAGCAAGAGTGGCCTGTGTGATTATATTCCTGTCTTGTACAATGACCAAACTGTTCCCACAGCGAGCTGGCCTCCTCCTCGCCGACCCACGCGACCTCCGACGCGACCCTGGACGTCCTGGGCTCCATCTTTGCCGAGCAGGAGCAGCTACACCTGCCCAGCAGTGATGTCAGGATCAACAGGGATGGCACTCTCTCCTACGGCAGGACAGGTCAGGGGCTTCCACACCTGGGCTAACAGATAGCTGACCTTGTAATACATTAACTCAGCATATCGGCAGAACATACTGCACCTTAGCAAAACCTGTAATGTATTGGGCAAAGCTCTCGGGCAGAACGTGTCATGTAAGGTTGTATTCAGGCATTTAGCAGACATCCCCCCTGTAGTTTTCAAATGTTGTGTCAGAAAAGCTACCATCTGCAACTAAGAAAATTCTGATGCAGTGTTAAGCCAACAGCCAACGAAAGATCTAGGTTTCGTGCAGGCGCAGTACATTTGCTGACATACTCCTCCCCACACCCCACTGGTAGACCCCTCTACTCTTCCCCACACCCCACTCGTAGACCTCCCTACTCTTCCCCACACCCCAATTTATTTATGACACCAGTAACTGTATTTGTTTCCTGGTGGTATTTGTACTGGGATATAGTAGTTTTCGTTAGTCCAGCCTTGACCGGTCATGAGCATACTTTTGTTCCAGCAGATGTGTGTACTTGGAATACGTACAGTAAACACACAACAGTTTATGGAAAGTTGCTACCGTGTATGTACATGGTTTTGACTGTCCTTTCTTGTCCTTGGTATGACAGATACAAATGGCACCAGCGGCAGCCACAGAGGGACTGTCCGGGTTGTACCCAGGGGGGAGCACAGACCCAACAGGGTGACTAACGGCGTCCCATCCAACCAGACGGCTCTTGGATCTCCCCAGGAGTCCAGCACACATCCCCAGAGCTCTGCAGGAACGTCATCGTCCGGTCACAACAGCCAAGGTTCCCAGCAGGGAGGCAGAGGCTTCAGTACATCAACCGTCACTTCTGGGTCATCAACTAGCAACCTGGGGTCATCTCAGGGTGGGCAGCATCCATGGGGTAACCAAGGAGCCGCCTCCCTAACAACCAGTTGCCTTGGCAGCAAGCCAAACAGAAGCCCCAGTGATGACGAGGAGGAGGAACAGCCTCCTAAAAATAAATCTGAGAGCACGGACTCTATTAACCCCCGGCAAGATTCGAAAGATGAGTCAAACAGTTCAACAGAGGAAAGCGGTAGTAGGCTCTTCTCGCATAAACAATGGAAACCCATACAGATAAACATCAAATCATCTTTGCCGCACACAGAAACGAGTCCAGTGCAGGGCTCCGTTAGAACTGACTTGCCTGACGGAGAAGAGCCACAGGAGAGTGTTGAGAAGCTGAACACGTCCTCGCACAGCTCTGGTGCCGAGCAGGAGTATAACCCGTTCTCCCCTACGGCCTCACCTGTCCATGGAGAGGAGGGCAGTGGGTCTGTGGAGTACAACCCCTTCAGTCCCACGCCCGAGGACGAGGATGACGACCAGACAAACCCGTCGCCTGACTCCGAAACAAACAACAACGACCTTGCCGGCACCTCTAAAGAACCCTGGGAGGTGGAGGACAGCAGTGATGTGGCTGTGGACACGGGTGGGTTGGATTTGGAACAGGTGGGGACAAACAGCCCCGGGGTGGACAGCCTGCATATCGATTTGGACAACCTGTCCCCACAGCTGGACAGGGAAGAAGACGACGATGAGCCAACCCTGGGTGAGGAAAGCAGGGAGGAGGAAGAAATGACCGGAGGAGAAGAGAGCATCGAGGACTTCCAATTTGAGGAGGAGCTGGATGAATTTCCTCTGCAGAAAAGCCCGGAGACATTTGCCACTAGCCCTGTAACCATGGAAATTCCCAATACTGCAGCTGTAGAGACTCCCGACAACACGTCAGCCCAGCAGACGGAGAGCAAAAAGCCTGCCAGCACATCTAAAGCCAGTAAGGCAGTATTAGACATGTTTTCGGGCCTGTCTCCTGACAAGGAGTCATCAGAAGGTGAGAGTGTAAACCAACAGGAAAAGCCATCAGAGGCAGATTCTAGAGGGGAAGCTCTGTATGAGGATGTTCTGGTGCTAGACTCGGGTGATGTGAACCTAGAACTACACGACGTGGAAAATGCAGAGAACGAGGCAGGGGAAAGACAATCTCAGCCCGTGGAAAGAAGAAGTGAGAGTAAAGATGAATTAGCACCTACAGAGGCTGGAAGGGCAGAAACAACTACTGAAACTGATAAGAACGTGTCTTATTTCACGTCTCGCGTGACACACACCGAGAGGCCAACAAGCCAAGAAGGGTGGGATTCCTCAGATGAAGACACACTGGACATCAGACCACTGCCAAACATCATGGACCTACCCAAGATTCCCAAGATACGACAAACGGTGCCTACCAGCCGAGAGAAGGAGAAGACAAGAGACAAGTCCTCGTCGTCTAAGGGGAAGAAAAGAAGAAGAGACTCAACAGCAGAAGGGCACCAAAAGGAACGCACAAAGGAAAAGAAAAGGGATAGGGAGAAGAGAAAAGAAGCTGGGGAGCAGTCCAGGAAGCGTAAATCAGATGCTCCCGACTCGTCAGAAGACGTGTCTGTGAGTAGCAGTCGTAGGAAAAGGATGAAAGCAAAGCGGTCAAGCTCTCGCCGGCAATCAAGAGAACGGGAGAAGAGAAGAGATGAGAGTTTCAGGGCGGACAGGTCTAGCTCCCTTGAGCAGGAAGGGGAGGGGAGGGCAGACAGATCACACAGAAGTTACAGGAGACATCGGCAGGATAGTTCCAGCTCGCTAAGTCTGTCAAGCGAAGAGGAAGCCTCCCCAGAAAGAACACGTAGGTCAAAATCCAAGGACAGGTCCCGCATGCGCAGTCAGCACTCTTCTGCTACATCCTCCAAGAGTAAAAGCAAGGAAGACAGAGAAAGGAGAAAGCACCACAAGGAAAGTAGAAGAGAAAAGAATGATAGCGACAAGTCTGACTGGTCCAGAGGATCGTCCAGAGATAGAAAGAAGGAGGAAAAGAAGAGAGAAAGAAAACATGAAGATAGTGATAGAAGGTCAAAAGAACGTAGCAGTGGAAAAGGGAGGGAGCAGAGAAGGTCTAAAGAAGGCTCTCCTCAGGAGTACAAAAAGCCCAAGGAAAAATCTCCAGAATACAAAAGGGAAGAAAGGCTGGGTGAACCTCCAAAATCAGACAGTAGAACATTGGCAGAGAAGATTGCAGAGAAAAATGAGAAGCTGTACAATTACGGTGACCATGACTACAGGAAAGCCAAAGATGATCAGAAGAAGGAGAAAACCGAAAAGGTGAAGACGGGAACACTCATGGAGGAACTGAGAAAAGTGGGCAAGCCCCGTCTACAGTCAACCGTACGGAAAGTCTCCAACGCGGAACAAGATGAGGACATCCTTCCGTTCTCCAGTTTCCTGTCTCCCGGCGGTATGGACAGGGACCACAGGTCCCGCGTGGAAAGAGAGGGACCTCGGACACCCGAGTACTCCAAACAGAAAAACGGAGACCAGTCGCAGCCAGGCAGTAAGGATGAAGACAGTGACGAAGGTGACTCCGCTACCTTGTCAAGATTCCTAGTTCCCGGAGGAATGGACAAGGATCACCGAGGGGCAGACCAGCTGTCCAACAGTAACAGCAGCTCCAGGGACGACCCTCGTGTGGAGAAGATGTCCAGGACCAGCGGAGAGAGAAGCAACCTTCCCGTGTTGGAGCCCCTCAGGCCGCCGGAGATCAAACCACAGCTGACCCTCCCCCAGTCCCTCCTCACCGTCCTGGGGGTCCTGACGGCACAGAAGCCAAACGCAGGTCTACCTTCAGGTCCAGCCCCAGCAGGAGCGGGAGGGGGGCAGCATACCGTGACGATCGAGGCCACCTCTCCAGAAGACGTGGAAATGAGGGACGTGGAGGAGTCTGGGAGAGATGATATAGACGAGAACATCGAGTCCTCAGCTGTGGAGATGGATATTAAGGAGAAGGTAAGTCCAGGCTAAACATTACATGTCGTGTAGATAAGACACCGGTAAAGGCTAGGAACTATGTGGGGGGGGGGGATAGAAATGGTAGAGGGTTAAGAATGTACATGCATGTTACATGTTATTACATGTACAATTTTAACCTTCTCCCTGCTGCCTAGCCCTATAACCAATGGAGAATTAGTAATAAGATGGCTGCTTCAGTTCACTAAAGTTTGTCAACATTTAAAACTGCAACATGCTGAAACATGTCATACAAGGCTTACTCAGATGTCTGTTGTAGTCTTTATAAATCTAGATACCTTTGATTTCTACCTATCTATGGCAGGAAATCTAGTTAAGAAAACTCCATGCACCTTCTCCCCCCCCCCTCCTAATGAAGCCTGTTGTTGTATGAAAGCCTGTTCTGATGACTCCCTGTCCACAGCAGATGTTGGAGAAGCTGAATCGTCAAGAGCGGGTAGCCGAGGAGGTGAAGCTCGCCCTCAAGCCGTTCTACCAGGCCAAGAAGGTCGACAAGCAGCAGTACAAGGAGATCCTCAAGAAGTCAGTCATACAGGTGAGCTGGAATTCTTCCTGGAATCATTGTCATCACAAGATCCTTTGTAACCCCTACATGTACATGATTTCAATAAATGAATGATGAATTCTAGGGGAAAATGCCTGTCGTACCCTGATGTAGCCCATAAAGTCTCAAAAGACAGCCTTTTTTTTCATTTATCAGGTGTTGCACAGGTTCATTTACTAGTAGAACCTTTGCCACATCTCTGTTATACATGTATATATAAACATATTGATTGACATTTAAAGCAATAACTAGGTCAGGTGTCTCTGTGGTAACTTTGTTTTTCACTTCTTCTATGCTCTACCACTATCTGTAAACTTGTTGGGCAGTATGGTAGGATTTACTGGTTAACAAGAGTAAAGTATCTTCTCCTGACAATCCAACATTATCTTATGTTTCCCATCCCTAGGTCTGTCACACAAAAACAGGCAAGATTGATCCGGTGAAGATTCGCCGGCTGGTGCGCCAGTACGTGGAAAAATACCGCGCGATGGAGAAATACCTCGCAAAAAAGAAGGGTTCGAGTTCCAGCCAGTCCCAGCCCTGGTATAGGCAGGCTAGGAAGTGATCTGATGAACTCAGACCTTCACAAAGACATTAATTACATTTACATGGTCGTTTTCGACTCCTACAAAGTCACCTGGACCGCTGAAACAGGTTGAGAGACTTTGTCATCCATGGGCACGTATATGTACATAGACACAGATGACACCGGTTGTGTGCGGCAATACCAAATCCCGGGACTCCACATCTCTAGAAAACTGAAATTCCCTGCAACGTTGGGTCACCTTCCAACATATATTTCAGACGCAGAGAGAGGTTTTACTCTACATCATGTGACGTCTGTGTTCCGTTTCAATATGTTTTTCTAGAGTGAATCAGTGTTACCCATGCATAGTTGAATAGAAAATAGCCTTGTAGGTTTTTTTGTAGAGAAACTGTAAAGTCTTTTTGAGGTACAGTACATAGTATTACAGTCTGCCACATGATTTTGATGTACAAGAAAGTTGCAGCATTTCATGCATGTGGGAGAGAAGAGGGTCAGACTGAGGGCAGTTCTTTTTGGAGGGTTTGGTCAAACACTTGAACTGAAGAACAGTGTGACAGTTTGAAGCCATCATGAAGTCATGATGGAGTAAATTATTAGAGACAGGTAACCATTTTTCTTGTTGCTAATGTTTAGTTTTCACTTGAGCATCACAAGAGGATGAAGAAGACATGATGACATGCCACCTTATAGTGATAACACAGAATTTAAGGGGGAATGATTGTAACACTTGTTTAAAACTGTAAAAATCTTGTTACATAGAATTGTCCAAGTTCTTTCAATGAATTCTTGCAGAATACAAAGCAGAAATATAGTGTAGATTACCATTTTACCCCTCCCATAAAACTATGTGATCTGTCAGTATTGCAGTGCAGAAGGAATGAAGTCAAGAAATTCTAATCATGACAATGTCTTCATTGCCAAGCAGGAAGTTCAAAAAATTTTTAACAGTATAGAACACACAGAACTGGTCTGTATGCACACTTGTTGACAGTGAAGTTAGAATTGGATTGAACAATACTACAGAATGTAGAGGAATTCAACTTGGAATGTATGTTTGTACCAATTTCAGCATTCTAGTATAAACTATCTTCAAAACAACTCTGTGAAGTGTGATTTCTTAACACTATTACTGTTAATTTTAGTGTTAGTAAACTTTTCTCTCCAACCTACATCAAAGAAGAGACAGTCAACTTAATACAAAATGGACATTCAATTCTTGATTCCACATTTGTTTATTTGATGAAATGAGCACAGAGGTAGGACACGTAATTTTTTGTCGTCTTCTGCTAAACAGAAGTATCAGTGTGTTGTCTGCATATGTGGCCTACAAGAGTACTGTATGAAGGCAGTGCACATGTTAAAATAAAGAGTACTTATGTCATTCCAGTAATTAAGACATGGCTACTAATATGGCTTGCGACTTGCAGAAATGGTGCAGATGAGAAGAAAAAAATTGATCTGCGGTGAACTATTTCATGTCACTCGCATGCAGTGCTAATCACACAATGTTATTGCCCAAACATGGCCCTGAGATCCAATGTTCTATGTAACCATTGGTCCATTTTGAATCAAAAGATTTACTCCAACAATCTTGGAACAACAGAAATTTGGCACTAGTTGCTCTGATACTGAAACATCTTCCCAAAACGTCCTGTAAAGCTGGACCAGCCTTTTGCCACTCTTCTATTTTTGTTTTCTGACTGTTCTCCCTGGGAAGGAGAACTAGTCTCTGCCCCAGGGCTGTCTGTGAGAGTGTTGTCCTCAGCCTCAACTGCTACCTCAGTGTCCTCTACCCCTACATCAGCGAGAGGCAAGCCTGGGGGCGTTTTGTTAACATCTTCTTTGTCATCTTTCTCATTCTTATGGTTGCCCTCTGACCTCTTGTTTGCCTCATGACCTTTGACTTCTTGTTGACCTTCCTGTGACATCCTGCAGAGGTCGTCGTGTAACTGCTGTTCCCTCTGCTCCATCCTCTCAATCAGTTTGGCCACATGCCCGCCGAAGAGTGACTGTATCCTCGCCATTTCTCCCAGCATCCAGTCCTTCCGTACCTCTGCTTCCAGAGCCATTGAGATGACAGTTCTGGAGACTGTGGACTCCGCTCCGTTTGTCATTTCTCCGGAGTGCAGCTCCTCCACAAAGTCACACATCATGTTAAACACGCTCGACAACGAGTCCAACCCCTCGTTCAACCTCGTCGACCTTTCCTCCTGCTCTTGTGCTATCGTTTTCTTCATGGCCTCCAGTT